AAGCAGACTCCCTGCTGAGCAGGGAGCCCCATGTGGGACTCGATCCCAGGACTCCAGGATCATGACCTGAGCTGAAGGCAGTTGCTTAACCAACTGAGCCACCCAGGCGCCCAAAACAGGTTTTTTTAACTGATGAGGATATGCTACCAAAAGTTCAGAGACATTTCTCTAATCACTGTAGCTAACTGACCCAAGAGAAACAGACCAGTTACAAGGATCAAGGGAATAAGTGTGTATGTTCCTGTCATTGATCTTGGATGGGGAACCACAGAAGCCTATGACAGTCTCAGTATGGTGTAATGCTATGAGCCTTGTTCTAGAAGTCATTAGAAGTCAGAACCTGAATTGATCCATAAGTCTGCCAGTTATTCGCTTGTGATCTTTACTTAATCTCTTTAGACTTCAATCTGTATTCAAACCATTTGGCCTTTAAAAGATCTGTCAAATTTCTAGTAATGAATGGGGGAGTCTGTAGAGTATTCTGAGATGTTTTTGCTTGCTCTGAGGTATACTCTGCCCTGTTGTTATCAGCCCTCTCTAACATTGATATGTAGTGAAGGATTTGTTTTGAAGCAATAAATATAAGATAAAAGGTGAAAAAGCACCTAACCAGGCTTGGTACATGGTAGGTGCTTAATAAATATTTGCTGGGTTTTAATCAGTTCCACACATACATTGTTCTTTGAAAATTTTCTTAGAAGAATTTGGTAATTTGCTTCCTGCCTTTCCTAATATAGCTACAAATAGCTATCACTCTTGAGCCCCTGTACACCGGTCTCATTTGCAGAGAAGGGGTGCACAGAAAGGGGGGGGGATAGAGTCTCAGAGTCAGGTAATGCTTGATTCTACCCTAACATCTACTGCACAGGATGGTTGTGAAAAATAAAGGAGATAGTGCATGTGAAATTACAAAATAAAGGACTAAACCATATTAGGGGATTGTTTTATTGTTGCCACAGTTCTGAAAGCATCCAAAATGATGCAGCTACCTAAGTATTAGCACAGTCTACAAACTTCTGTCTTACAAATAGTGGGCCTAGATTCCTTTCTTGTCCTATAAGAGCTTTTCTTCCTTTTACTGCTCATTTTCAAAACCTGCCACATTAGTATACCAGTATATCTTTTTGAGAAATCTTTGTAATTCCATATATAGCCAACATTCTATCTCAGAAAATGCTAATTGAGCTCAAACATGCATATGGAACACAACGATAATAAAAACAATGAATTATTTGTGTACAACACATTTCGATTCTATTAATAATACTTAGGCGCTAGGAAAAAACATTATAGGCAAAAAAAGAAAAATAGTCTTTGACTGGCTTATATTTCTGGTTTTGTTGGGTTTTGTTTTATTGTAGTTTTTGGCTATAACATAGTACATGTCTTGATTAAATAAGGTGTACTTTATCTGCTAATCCCAGAGTGAATAAGTAATTGAAAGTCTGTGTATACATACATATATTTTCAGCCTTTCTCCCTTTCTGACGCCTTCCCTCAGACATACTGAAGCATCCACTGTCTAACAATCCTTCCCTTAACCCTAAGACCTTCCACTGTTCCATTATGCTGGGTAGTAACTTTTTTCTTGTGTCTAATCCTCCATTTCAAATGTTTAAGTCTTTTTTGATTTTGTGTTTTAGAGTTGTATCTTTCTCCCTTAGATCTCAAGTAGTCCTAGAAACAGAAAGTAACTTACATATTTCCAACAGAATAAACTTCAGCATACTGATCCAAATGGCCTTGCTGAGGGTAGAAATCTCCATGTTTGCCTTGGAATATTTTTCAACCCCACTCCCCAATAAATACAGTGTGTGTGTGTGTGTGTGTGTGTGTGTGTGTAGCATTAGTTTTACTTAATACAAGCACATGTCAGAGCACAGCAGATTACTCTGTTGTGTTTTCAGACTTCTTTACACCCTCTGCCCTCACCCCATGAAACTATTCTAATTATCTCCGATAGGAAGAATGAAGACTTGGAAATACTCAGTGCTAATGTTAAGTAGAGGTTAAATTGGTCTATGCAGTGGGCTGGTATCATTCTCTCTGACATTTAACTTGAAAGTATATTCCCGGGGTCACATGGCTGGCTCAGTTGGTAGAGCATGCAGCTCTTGATCTTGGGGGTCACAAGTTCAAGTTGGACATAGAGCTTACTTTAAGAAAATAAATAATAATTTGAGGATTTCTAATATATGCTAAATTTATATTTCTTGATTTACAGCTGGAGAAAGTATCTCTAACTCTCTTTTCTCCCTTTATATTTGCTTCAACAGGAAGAAGGCAGTATCAAAGAAATTGCAATCACACATCATGTAAAGGAAGGACATGAAAAGGCAGATCCTTCCCAATTTGAACTTTTAAAAGTATTAGGGCAGGGATCATTTGGAAAGGTAAGTCATGAGTTTGTGTTTTTAAAAAGTTGTTTCTTGGAATTTGTGTGTATTTCATACAGATGGCGAATGGAAATACTTAATGAAATACTACCAATCTCCGTACAAGCAGTGTTTCTCTGTTCTTACATTTCTCACTATGAATAGCATGAGAAATTGAATAAAGTCATTCAAAAGTACACTGGAAATTTTCATAAATTGACAATAGTCACTTCATATTTATTTTATCTTCAAGACCATGTGACTTCTCTTAATTGTACTTTGCAAATGATTCAAAATAAAAAATTCCCCTGATACACTTTTTGATACTCTTTTTGAGTCCTCATGTAGATTTGGAAGGTGATGTTGCCGGATACGTTATAACGGTATATCTCAATCTTTCCTTCATAATATCCCAAATACCAGCAGGAAGTGAATGCCTACTCCAAAGGAATTGGGGGGGTGGATTACCACTAAGTATAAAATTTTGGAGACTTACAACTCGTCTTTAAAATGAATATAAAGGGGATCCCTGGGTGGCTCAGTCGGTTAAGCATCTGCCTTCAGCTGAGATCATGATCCCAGGATCCTGGGATCAAGTCCCAGGTCAGGCTCATTGCTCAGCGGAGAGCCTACTTCTCCCTCTGCCTGCCACTCCCCCTGCTTGTGCTCCCACATACTCTCACTCTCTCTCTCTCTCTGACAAATATTTTTAAAAATAAATAAGAATGCAAAGGTTAGATTCTAGTCAATGATATCCATGTTTGTATTTAATATCAAAAATGTTTCCCAAAGCCACCAACTAAAATTGCTCCTGGAGATGCAACATCTTCATCATTTTTCTTCAGATATTCCTTGTTCCCCTGCTGCATACCTCAGGAGCACTTTCTGTCCTTCATTTTGAGAAGTACAGCATTATGATTACTATTATTTGATCTAACTGTTCCGTTTCTCAGTAAGAGGAAGATTCTGAGATTGCATTCAACTTTCACATTGCAATGCTTGTTTACCACCTCCCTGTGAGGAAACATCTGAAGATAATATGGTTTGCAAGCTTCAAAACAACACCACTTTAGCTCCCTTGTGTATTTTAGGGGGACTGTTTAGCAATTCTTGGCTAATATAGGTAATTTATTACAGCTGTTAACCTCCTTTAAACCCAAAGTGATGCTTTTATTTCAAATATTGGTTAAGGAGGCAGTAGAATATAATGGCTGCAACTTTGGGCTCTAGGTCAGCCAGACATGGATTTGATTTTTTTTTTCTTCTACTTGTTACATGTGCTTGAACAAGTTACTTAACCTCTTCAAGCCCCATTTTCCTCTTCCAGCCAGTCATTAAGTATTGAAATTCCTCAAGGTTCCATTCTAGGCTGCCTTCTCCTCACTTTATACTCACTACTAATTATTTTCTCTATGCCCACTATCTTAATTATAACCCACATACAGCTGTCCTGACAGATTTCTCTCTCCAATCTAGATCGTGCCTCTAAACTCTGAACTCTTATGTCCAGCTGCATATTTTGTTCTCACATGATTCAAAGGCAGTTTAAACTCAACATGTCTACAACCAAAGTCATGATTTTCCCCTGCCCCCCCCCCCAACCTGTCCTGTTTCATTTTTCTCTGCAACTATGAATGGCATCCAGTTAAGCAAATAGAAACTTGGGAGGCATTTTTGACATATCCTTCTACTGCCCACCTTTTCTGCTTGCCTCTCCCCACCAATCTGAACTATTGGCAAGTCCTATTGATTTAGTAAAGATTTCTCAAATCATGCCTGTTCTCTCCTTCACCCTATGCCACCCCCATTTCTCCTTGGCCTATTGAAGGAGGCTCCTAACTGGGACTCCCAAATTTATTCTTTCCTCAAGCCACTATTTACATAACAGCCAACAAGAGCTAATCTTATACTTCAGTAGCTTCCTTTAGCCTTTAGGATAAAGACATACTCTTAAGACGGCTGAGAAGCCCCTTGTTCTGGTGCCTAGCTACCTGAACAACATCACTTCATATATTTTTCACTGTCTGTGTTCTGGCTACATTGGCCTTAAGCCCCTGGCTCCATCCCACTAGAAACCCTTTGCACGTGCGCTTCCCTCTGGGTGAAACACCCCGCCACACCCTTTTCCTCATCTTATTAGCACCTCTCATGCTTATGATCTCAAAGAAGTCTTCTCTGCCATTCTAAGTCATATTCCTCTATTTTACCCTGTCAGAACATTATATACCTCTTCACAGCACTCACCACAATTGTAGTTTTTCATTTGTGTAATTGTTTATTGACTATCTCCTCCCCTAGACTATGTGTTCTTTCCATGAGTACAAGGGACATGCTTTGTACCATGTCTCAGCATTGAGCTAGTAGCACAGTGCCTAGCATATAATTCTGGAAAGAAGTAATGATAAAATAATAGTCCTGACCTCATAGGTTAGTAGTGAGAATTAAATGATAAAAGACCAAGCACATAATATCTGCTATGAAATTGTATTATCATGCAGTCATATTATGGATAAACCCAAATAGATTGGTTTCTTTCCATACATTAGATTTTCAGGGAACACAATATTTAAGTTGCCAGTAGTTAGCATGCATCTCCCTTTATTTCTTTAAAAGTAACTTAAATACCTTACTATAAATAGCAAACATTAAAAAGAGGGCGTCTCCTTTCTTACTCATCCTAAAAAGCCCATGTAAGCCAAGGAAACAGGGATGACCTGTCAGAGCTTAGAATAGCTTCATGGGGGAGTTCGAAAGGTCATGAATGCTCTGGCTGGGGAAGATCTGATGGCATCTGGGACCACTGCTGCTCCTGCTACACTTAACTGGTGACCTGCCAGAGGGAACAGATTAAGAGCGCCTGAGCAAGAGCACAGAACTGGGTGGCTGGCCTGGTCCTTGTTCCAATACCTCCACTGTGACACTAGTCAAATTATTTAACCTCTCTAAGCCCTAGCTTGGGCAGCTATAAATAGGCATTCCTTAGTCCGCCTGCCTCCCAAAATTATCATGATGATGTATTACAAATGCTTGTGAAGGTCCTTTGTAAACTAAGAAGTGCTGAAAAGTGTTAAGGTACTTTCAAAGAAGGGTGAAAAAAGTTTGGAATCCATAAGAATTTTTCTTGTGGAATGGCACAAAGAAGCTTGATTTAGGGAATCTTAAGAATAAATACCAGATAAATCCTAATTACCTCCACCTAATTAGAATTTTTTTCTGTTCAAAAATATTAATAATCTCTGATTATCTTTAACATTTGAACATCATTCCCTCTTAGGAACCTGATTAAGAATGCTTTTTTCTCCCTCGTTGGGCTCACTACTAACTGGCTAAAAAGAACTAAAGGGTGGGGCATCATGGAAGGGACAAGAGGGAGTGATTTGGGGAGAGGAACACACAATGCATCAGGGTTTCTGTGCAAGTTGTGGTGCTCTTCACTAAACTTTTGAGGTCATTGCCAGTCACCTTTGGCACAGTTTCTCAAAGTGAGGAACTCTGCCTCGCCCTAGAATCAGTTGAATGTAGCATTTTTTTATTTTTGCTAATAGCCTGGCATGCTAGCACAGATCATTGAGAGCTGACCTGAAAGTTAATTCTCAATTATAATTGCTTCTCTTCCCATCTGTGGCAACTCAATAGCAACTGCTAGGAAAGAATAGACAGAAGAAAAAAGTTGAAATTCAGGTCCATTTAGCAAATATGTTTAAAGATTGAATGAAAAAGATCATGAATCACTATATTGTATACCTGAAACTAATATTACACTGTATGTTAACTGACTGGAATTTAAATAAAAACTTTAAAAAAAGATCACAAACTTAATGGTCAAAATGAACAGAAAAGATTTATAGTTTTGTATTAGCCATGTTATAGCATGACTGTGAATTATTTAGAGCAGGCTTTATTCTTTTTGCATAAATTTCACACTATATTTTGAAAGCAGATAAAAATAACTTGGAAAATCAAGAGGCTCAGTAACATACCTAAGAACTGTGTTCTTCATATTTAGGTATATATGATAATTTGATTTTTAAAAGGTTGAAAGGTAGGGTTCTGTCTTAAGTCACATTAAATATTTGTGAATAGGCTTCTTCAGTGTGTTTTAATTGTTCTTCCCAGCGATGAGAAATTTATGTACAGTTTTCATACACAAGACCAATTATTAGTGAATAATTGTATCAACGGAAAATGGTGGTCAAGGGGAACTCCTGTGTGACAATTTTTATCAAATCGGAAGAATTTTTGTTTTGTTAAAAGCAATGACCACTTGTGTTATACTTTAAACATGTTAGACTTTACACAGTTTAAAGATTTTTGTGACTTATATATTACATGCTCTGGGAATTGGCAGACAACAAAAAGAAAAAAAAACAGTGTATTCATTTATGTTGACACCCCAAGTTATTACCACTGTTTACAACTCATTGTATTTATAATTGATGCATAAGAAAAATAAGCATCTACAGTGTATCAGAGTCTCTCTAATAATACACTGTATTATAGAAAGGGTCTTATTTTTAACAATGGCATAGTTTGTGATACTTTGTAAAACTTATTTTCTCTCATATAAATACAGGTTTTCTTAGTCAAAAAAATCTCAGGCTCTGATGCTAGACAGCTTTATGCCATGAAAGTATTGAAGAAGGCCACATTGAAAGGTAAGTGCTGCAACTGTTTATACTGTTTGCATAGTCTAAGCAAACTGAAAGGTCTCAACAGATCTCCAGTGACTCCTAGGCCAGTTACTTACATTCTGAATCTGTTCCTGTTACTGTCTTTAAATTTAGACTTTCTTTTAGCGAATTTTTCCTACTGGGCTAGGAATCATATGACTAGTGAGAATAGGAGTTGCCATGTTATAAAAGAAGTATTATAGGGGCGCCTGGGTGGCTCAGTCGTTAAGCGTCTGCCTTGGCTCAGGTCATGATCCCGGGGTCCTGGGATCGAGCCCTGCATCGGGCTCGCTGCTCAGCGGGAAGCCTGCTTCTCCCTCTCCCACTGCCCCTGCTTGTGTTCCCTCTCTCGCTGTGTCTCTCTCTGTCCAATAAATAAAATCTAAAAAAAAAAAAATACTATAAATTCATCTTGGGCTTATGCAAGTAGAGGTTTAGAAAATTCAAACTGGGTTTGATTCATCTTCAAATCAGTGTGATTATTTTAATGTTTTAAAAACCTACTGATTTACCCAATGCAAAATAGCTTTTATCTTAAGGACTTTATCATCTTGACTTCTGGTCTCCAAGTAAGTTTTTATTCTAAGCCTCTGATGTTGAACAATCTTATATAGGATTTGACTCTTTTAGGTAAATAGTCATTTAGAAGAAATTATACATAGTTTTAAACATACTTAAATCTTTTATTTAGTAGTTTTGGTTATTTTACCACATAAGCTCTAGTTGTTAATGTGTTGATTCCCAGCATCATTTTTTTCCTCTTCAATTTACATGTAATTTTAAAGCTTTTAAAAATGTTCAGAAACGGGGGGGCACGTCTGGGAGGCTCAGTCGTTAAGCGTCTGCCTTCGGCTCAGGTCATGATCCCAGGGTCCTGGGATCGAGCCCCGCATCGGGCTCCCTGCTCGGCGGGAAGCCTGCTTCTCCCTCTCCCACTCCCCCTGCTTATGTTCCCTCTCTCTCTGTGTCTCTCTCTGTCAAATAAATAAACAAAATCTTTTAAAAAATAAAAAATAATAAAATATTCAGGAAGGAATATTTGTGATGATCATTTATTATTTCTGGTGTTATTCTTTCCAGTTAGTCACCTACCCTGGATATCCTCATTCCAAGAAATTCCACCATTCTGTGTAAACACCATCCTTTGCTTCCTTTCTCTTGTTCCCTTCCTGAATGTATTTTCTTTCCTATCTAGTCTCTACAACTGGCACACTACTTACTTGATTCTTGCTAGGACCAGGGAGTGAAATTATATCCTCACTGCCCTACTTTATATCACTACTTGTATAACTTTATGCCTACTCCCAAGTTATAAAACTACATTGGTGGAACTTACACAAAAGAGGTCATTCACAAAAACAACAAGAGTAGGTTCCATATATTTAACAGGATCTGTGTTGTGCATAATGTACATAAAGGAAACTATGAAACTGAAAAACCTAAAAGATATCAGGAAAGGAAATAAATGCCCGATTCCTTTTAGAGAAGGCTAACTGTTGTTAAGAATCTCAGTATTCATCTAGCCATCCAATTAGCTCTATATCATCAAGATTCCAATTGAATTTTCCTTTAAATATTTAAAATTTCATTTGAAAAGCATACACATCAAAGAGAATATGTGCTGTGTTATATGGCAAACCAGGTATACAGAACAATGAGAAATAATGGTTTCACAAATTTTGTTTGAAATACTCCTGAGCAACCTGGAAAAAAAATTAGTCTTCTCTTAAACCCTATGCCATAAAAAAAAAATCTAACAATCTAATCAAACAGTCTAACTGAATATTACAGCTTAACACATCTAGGAAACTTGTGAACAGATATTAAGCAAATTACAAGTTATAAACAGATTGACACTGCAAAAATTTTAGCCTTTCACACAATGAAAAATAGTATAAGTAAGAAATTATGAAATTATTTGCCTCAAATATTAGAAAATAATAATACAAGGAATGAGTACAGGGCTCCTATGGGCCAAATCTAGGACAATTTGAAAATTGGCAATAATTAATGATAGTGCTAGATTACAAACCACTGAATAAAACAAAAATCCAGGGCACCTGGGTGGCTCAGTTGGTTAAGTGACTGCCTTCGGCCCAGGTCATGATCCTGGAGTCCCTGGATTGAGTCCCACATCGGGCTCCCTGCTCGGCAGGGACTCTGCTTCTCCCTCTGACCCTCCCCCCATCTCATGTGCTTTCTCTCTCTCTCATTCTCTCTCTCTCAAATAAATAAAATCTTTAAAAAAAAATCCATGGATTGATCCATAAATTAAGTAACGTGGAGCAAGGGAAAGCTCTTCCTTATAGTAGAATTCCAACTAATAAATGTAAAAGGAATAATTGAATTAGGAGGTCCTGAAAAGTGGCATTACAACCTCTACCTAAAGGATTTCAGAATAAATTTTATGAAGGGGGATAAAATAATGTTTGGAAAAATGTTCCATTTTGATGATAAAGAAATACATGTAAAATAATGTTATTTCATATAATGGCAACATAAATTGGAAAGTGGTTTTGCAATACATACAGAGAGCCATTATTGCTGCTAAATTAACCTGAGAAAATAATCTCAAAGAAAGAATTTATGTGCTTGAAAATTCTTACAGCAACATTAATTTATAATGTTGAGAATTTAGAAATCACACAAATATTGAAAATAGAGGAATGTTTAAAAATTATAATATACCATTTAATAGAATATTATTTAAAAGAAATATTTCAAATATAATCCCCAAAATGAACTTAATGAAAATATGTAAGTGAACAATTATAACAAATTTGGCTACCACAAGTATGTAAAATTATATGGATATAAGCTATTAAAGAAACCCTGGAAAATGAAAATATTTGACATACTGGAATTGTAAGCTGTCAGATAACTTTAATGCATTCTTAAATTCAATTTTAATTTCTTTCAAAGTAATATTTATATAGAATCTTACAAAATAGCATTGCCTTACCAACCCACCTCCCTATTCCAATTCTCGACCCTCAGAGACCATGACTTCCATCTCCTTAACTATTTCTGTCATTTACCTCCATATTCAATACTCTTTTTTGCAATTCTTTGATTGTTTTCATTTGGTGACATAATTTATTGACTTCCTAACATGGCACATTAGGATTTAGTTCTTTCATACTACCACCCACACATAATTCCACCTTTCATGTCTGCCCAGTAATGTTTTCATTATTACAGCTTGCTTTTTTAAAAAAGATTTTATTTATTTGCCAGAGAGAGAGAGTGCACGAGCACAAGCAGGGGGAACAGCAGGCAGAGGGAGAAGCAGGCTCCCCGCTGAGCAAGGAGCCCAATGTGGGACTCGATCCCAGAACCCTGGGATCATGACCAGAGACGAAGGCAGACACTTAACCAACTGAGCCACCCGTGTGCCCACATTATTACAGCTTTATAAGAACTGTTCCTAAGTAAGCCAAATAGTATACTGGAATCCCATTACCTTCACATCTTTGCTGTATTAGATCTCATTTTCTAAATTCTGTGTCTACCTCTTTCTCAGTTAACTCACCAGTCTAGGTAGAACACATCTCCTAGTAGCTACCTCAGAAAGGGTGAATGGATGGTAAAATTTTTGTGACTTTGAATGTCTTAAAATGCCTTTATTCTACCCCTCAGTCAATTTATAATTTGGCTGAGTGTAAAATTCTAGGTGAGAAATAATTTTCCCTCAGATATTTGAAGGCATTGTTTCCATTGTCTTCCAGTTTCCTGTGTTGCAGTTATGAGGTTTATTGCAATACTGACTTCCATTCCTTTGTACGTAAGCTGCTTTTCCTCTTTGGAAGTCTAGAACCACTCTATTCTTTATCCCTGGTGTTCTCGAATTTGTACAGTGGTATTTCTTTAGTGTGAACTTTTGAAATTCACCATACCAGGTATGGGGTGGTCTCTTCCAGTCTAGAAACTCATTTCTTCAATTTTGGCAAAGTATTTTGTCTTTTCTTCCCCATTTTGTAACTCTTGCTCTTTGAATATGTTGGACTTACGGGATCATTTCTTAATTTTTTTCCTTACTGTTTTCCAGTTTTGTCTTTTTTTTCTATTTTCTAGGAAATATTACCAATTATCTTTCAAACTTTCTATTGACATTTTTGTTTCTACCATCATTTTTAATTTCCTAGATTTTCCTTGTTCTCTTTCTATTTTTAAAAACTTTTTATTATGAAAAGTGTCAAACATTTACAGAAAGAAACAAAAGAATATAGAGAACCCCCATATACCCTCCTTGCTGCTTCACCATTTCTCAACTCATGGTCAATTTTTTTGCATCTGTGTCTTTTCCCCTCTCTTGATACTATGAAGCATATCCTAGACATTGTACAATTTCTTCTGTAAATATTTTAGTATGTATCTCTAAAAGATAAAGATTCTTAAAAGAAATAATACAACTCTATCACTATACCTAAAAAATTAATATACAGGTATCTAAATGTTTGAATTTCCATTTGTGCCTGTTGTTGTAATTCATCTCTCTTTTTGCAATTTGTTTGAATCGAGATCTATAGAAGAGCTCTATTTTGTAGTTGGTTGATTTCTCTTTAGGTCTTTTAATCCATGAACTCTGTCTCCATTTTTTTTCTTTGTAGTTTATTTGTTGAAGATACTGGTTCCTTCCCCCCTACCCCTTTTAAAGCTTCTTGTTTCATGGGTGCTGTATGGTTTTTGCTCTGTTGGGGTATTTAAATTACAAGGTTGATTTTTAGGTTTTCCCCTCCTCTTTACATTATTTCCCTTTATTCCCTTTTTTCTGCTTATTTTGATAACTTTTTCCTCTTTAGAGCCTTTCCTCAAATGCGTGGGGATCCTTTGCTAACTTTTTCACATTTAAGAGTGAGGCAACAGGGCACCTGGGTGGCTCAGTTGGTTGAGTGTCCCAACTCTTGGTTTCGGCTCAGGTCATGATCTCAGGGTCGTGAGATCAAGCCCTGCTTTGGGCTCCATGCTCAGTGGGGAGTCCGCTTGATATTGTCCCCCCTCCCTCTGCCCTTCTCTCTCTCTCTCTCTCTCAAATACATAAATAAATCTTAAAAAAAAAAAAAGAGTAAGATACCAAATAGCCAATTGGAAAGAGTTCTATGGCAAGAATTTCCTTATTTCTCATTGACTTTATTCCCTTAGGCTTAGCTTTTAGCTTTCTCTTATCTACTGTGTAAGTTACCACTTACTCATCTGCTCTTGCTTCCTCTCCTGTTCTTTGTCCTTGTGAGTTTATGCATCATTTTTCCATTATAGTGATTTCAGTGGGGCTTTGGAAGAAAGTAGAAAGTAAAACATTTATGTTTAACCAGAAGTCTCTTTCTATTTCAGAGTTCCTATTAATACAATAAATGGGGTCAAATAGAAGTCAGTAGTGTTAAGTTGAGTTTGTAGGGACTTTTGTCCTAATACAATAGTCTGTGGGCCTTAAAGTTTCTTAATATATAACACTAGAGGGGCGCCTGGGTGGCTCAGTCGTTAAGCGTCTGCCTTCGGCTCAGGTCATGATCCCAGGGTCCTGGGATCGAGCCCCGCATCGGGCTCCCTGCTCGGCGGGAAGCCTGCTTCTCCCTCTCCCAATCCCCCTGCTTGTGTTCCGTCTCTCACTGTGTCTCTGTCAAATAAATAAATAAAATCTTTAAAAAAAAATACATAACCCTAGAAACATAAACAGCATTTCTTCTTGTTCACTCTTAGGTTCAAGTCAAGGAGGATTTAAAATCTAATAACTACTATATGAGAAAAATTATTTCAGAGGAATGTAGTTGCTTTGCCAGCATGAGTCATTATTAATAAATTCTATTTTAGGGTTTAGAGTTTAACCAATATAAAACATGCCTTCTTCTAAACCAGTATATCCTAATCAAAATTCCTGATTGTAGCATGATGTAGGACTTTACATAAGTAAAAGAAACCAGATTAGAATTATTACACAGTCCTGCCTCAGACAAAATGAAGGAATTCTTGAGTAAGTAAATCTCGCTACTCATTTTCAACTAAACAAGTTCTCATCAGTGTTACATGTAAGGAAACCACCTCACAGGATAATCATAATAGAAAAAAATCATCTTGTTCTAGCCTCTCATTTTATAGAGAAGAAAGCTAGAAGTCCCTGAGCAGTGTTAAGAATTTGACCAGGTAATTCATCTAGTTACTAGCAAGGCCACTGAAACCTGTAGTTCTTGACTCCCAAATAATTGTTCTTTTCATTGTGATAGAATAATAGATGAAGGATATACAGTAAATACATTGTTGGGTATTTTTGCTGCTCACTGAGCAGAGAGTTAAGTTCTAAATGATAAGCTTTGTAATCTTTGTATAATTATTGAAAGAGATAGAAATTTGGAATCCAGCTTTAAGGTAATAGAAACTGAATCCAAGATCATATGGGTAGCAGTAGAAAAAGCACAGATGTGGCCTAGACTGGAACAGAATTATCAGCAGACCTAGGTGATGAACCTTATTCATAGAAATAATAGAAGGGGCCTGTTGAATAGAACACACCAGAGTTATTGTGATAGAATAGGATAATGAAATTGATATACTTGCTGGACAAGTCATTTAAAAGACAGAGCTTTATAGATCTCAAGAGCAAAATAATTTCTATATCTGGTTTGCCCATTTTCATTTCACTGGTACCGAAATCTCTTAATTGGAAGTGGAAAACTGATAGAATGGGAAACATTGGATTTTTTTTATATTGTTTCTTTTTTCCAGGGGTCTTATTTCTGTGTTTTAAATATCCGGTCACTTTATACTGAAAAGAATACCAGTTCATCTTTCTCTCTGTCCCTACCCTCCCCCCACAGAAGACTCTCTTCCCTGTTCTTTCTGCTTAATCTTTGACATAACCATTCAGTCACTCTGGCCTGAAGAATGCAAGTCATTTATGATTTATCCTTATTATGCAACAGAAAAAATAATAAAATTTTAATGAATGATCATTTTCACCTCTTAAATCCATTGAGCTACCAACACAGAATACTTATCAGAATGTATTCTATTTAGTTGGTTGTCTGTCGTTCCCACCAGATTATGAGCTCCTTGAAGATTATTTTGTTTGTATTTGTATCTCACAGGTACCTGGTACATAGAATTTGCTTAGGAAATCATTGGTTGGTAAAAGAGAGCTTTACCTACAGGATCAAACGTAAATTTATCTGCCATTACACATTGTCAAGAATCTGGGTCTTACTTGTTTCACCTCCCCAATTTCCATACCGATTTGGTTCCTTTCTCTTCCTCATGCATGCCTCCATGTCCTTGCTTGCACTGGTATTCCATACCTGGACTTTTCTTCTTTAGGCCTGATCCTTCCCATCCATCTAAATTCCACTCCAAAAGTTCCTAACTCCACCTCTTCCTTCTTGCTTTCCCATGCAAGTAAAACTCATCTTTGCCTTCTCTGAATTTCTGTACTACTTATTGCTAGTTATAAGTCATTTTATCCCTTTATCATATTCATGGTGCTATAGCTACCATTTAATTGAATATCTCCTATATACCAGGCTCTGGGATGTCCAGACCTTATCTCAAATGGTCACACAGCACACAAAGGTACAGTGGTGTTATCTCTATTTTATAGATGAGGGGTAACAGAGGCTCAAAGAGTTTAAGTAGGTAACTTGCTTAAGATTACACAGATCTTTTTTTTTTAAGATTTTATTTGTTTTATTTGACAGAGAGAGACACAGCGAGAGCAGGAGCACAAGCAGGGGGAGTGGGAGAGGGAGAAGCAGGCTTCCCACTGAGCAGGGAGCCCAATCTGGGGCTTGATCCCAGGACCCTGGGATCATGACCTGAGCCAAAGGCAGATGCCTAACAACTGAGCCACCCAGGCACCCCAGATTACACAGATCTGAATCCGATTTTTTTAACTCTATAAAGCCTTTGCTCTTTCAGCTGCACCACATTATTTCTTCTTCCTCTCCCTTTCCTCCTTCCCCCAAAATAGACCTTTTTGGGTACACCCATCCTTCACCATGTCTGTTACGCTTTACAGATGCTTAACGAATGCTTGTTGAAATGAGTTGATAGGGTTGGTAGGGGTAGTGAAACCTATTCCATTTTCTTTTGTGTGTGTTTTAATATTTCACTGGGATGCCTCATTTTTAAAAAGTTACTCTTGGGACGCCTGGGTGGCTCAGTCAGTTGAGCGTCTTGCCTTCAGCTCAGGTCATGATCCCGGGGTCCTGGGATCGAGTCCCACATCGGGCTCCCTGTTCGGTGGGGAGCCTGCTTCTCCCTCTCTCACTCCCCCTGCTTGTGTTCCCTCTCTCTCTCTGACAGATTAATAAATAAAATCTTTAAAAAAAAGAGTTACTCTTTTTTGGTCATTTTTCATAACTTTGATTAAAATACTTGTAAATTTGGGGCACCTGGGTGGCTCAGTCATTAAGTGTCTGCTTTCGCCTCAGGTCATGATCCCAGGGTCCTGGGATCGAGCCCCACATCAGGCTCCCTGCTCCCCAGGAAGCCTGCTTCTCCCTCTCCCACTCCCCCTGCTTGTGTTCCCTCTCTTGCTATGTCTCTCTCTCTGAAATAAATAAATAAATAATCTTTAAAAAAAATAAAATACTTGTAAATTTGATGTTAAAGCCAACATCTGATTCAACATCTGATATGTTCTCTGTATTTTTTTAACCTAAAGCACAGATTTTATAAATATAAACAAAATTTGTATAATTTAGTAAAAAAATATTAATTTTGAAAATTCAAGAGTAATAGTTTTATTTGTACATATAAATAATTTTATTGGTATGTATAAAAATATGAATTCACATTTTAGCATAATTTTATTTAAAATAGGCACCAAAGAGATTTTGTTTTAAAGATTGTCTCTGAAAGCTATTGTAGTACAGCCATATGTACAATATTTTGTAGTTCGAGATCGTGTTCGGACAAAAATGGAGCGTGATATCTTGGTAGAAGTTAATCATCCTTTTATTGTCAAGTTGCATTATGGTAAGTTATGAACCAATTGCAGCCTCATCCCTCCACCTGATCCCCCACTCCCTGAGTGCATTCAGATATATTAATGTATATAAATATTTACTTGTGTATATTTATATGTGTTTAACAGATAAAGTCATGGAAATTAAGCCAATACTTCTTAAACTTTAGAAGCTTTTATTGCATTTATACTTATGTTTCTGAGTAGTAGCCATAGGAATAGGTAATAATCATTGTTTTCATAATAATTCATAATAAATCATAATTGTTTTTTATTATAGTAATTAATAACAGTGTACCAGCATTTTATAGTCCATATGTGTTAGCCCAGCTTTTCCTAAAAACAAGACAGAACCCTAATGTCAACATCCTGAAGCTTTTATAACCTTTCTTTTCCCCAAAAGTGTATGTACTTTTTCTCAGTGGGTAAAGTTGTGGTAATTCTTAATATGTATAATTAAAGCTAGTGACATGGTTCTTGTATTTTGTTTCCTGGTTAAGTAACCATGTTGGGAATTTTTCTTATTGATCGCATGTTTTAAAACTACTATATTCCTGGGAGACTGTTGCCTGAAGAAAATGCAACAAATGTTCTAGTGGTTCCATAAGAAACACTGCCTTTAACATTTCCACAAGGAAACTAAGAGCAATCAGTGGTTATCTTCTCAGTAAAAATCAGTTTAGATCTATGACATAATCATTAATTTGCTTAAAAATAATATTCATTTGTGAATGAGTTGACCTAATGTAAGCCAAAACATTGGGTTAAACAGAAATTTTCATTTCTTCATTCAGCTTTTCAAACTGAAGGGAAGTTGTATCTTATTTTGGATTTTCTCAGGGGAGGAGATTTGTTTACACGCTTATCCAAAGAGGTATGTAATTAATCTCTATTTTTAATCTATCTATATGCATCCTGTTTTAACTAAAGCTTTGTTATATTTCAATATTATGTTTATTGTATCTTCTGTAGTGGCACAAGTGTCTCACATTAGGGAATTAGAGCCAAAAAGAGTTCTTTTCCTACCTTTTGAAGTTATTCTGAAAGTAGGACTTTAAATTGATAAACTCTCTTTGTCTTTTGTCCTGCTTCTTTTAGTTACAGTTTTTCAGAAGCAATAACATATCAAGATATCCTTAAACAATTAGTAGTGGAAATTCAGTATGCATTTAAAAGATCGTTTTTCATTTTTAAGATGTTACTGTGGTAGGCAGCAGTGGCACAATCTGAATATAGATGTTACTTAACAATATGTAAAATTATTTTCCCCACAGTGCACATTTGGCATTTAGAAAGTGATTAGTTGACTGATTTGGTCATTTTTGCAAATTCCTTTCATTAGTAAATTGTGGATAAAACTACATGTGATTAGCATATTTATAACTTTTTGGTTATTTAAACTCTAGGATGGCATTTTAAATAAAAACTACAGACACAGAAAGAAAATAAGACAGAAAAATTATTATTTTATTTTAGGTGATGTTCACAGAAGAAGATGTCAAATTCTACTTGGCTGAACTTGCACTTGCTTTAGACCATCTACATAGCCTGGGAATAATCTATAGAGACTTAAAACCAGAAAAGTAAGGAATCATGCTACTAAGCTGAATACAATGTTATATAATTATTTAGGAGGTAATAAAAAATAAAATTACTTTGTAGAACTACCACAAGAATTACATTAGAGTGCCCGTGCTTCACATTTCTGCTAACACTATGTAATCTCATACTTTTAAAAATCTGCCAATCGTAATATCTGTTATTGTTACCTTGTCTTCATTTGCATTTTTTTATTTTTAATGAGGTTGAAATCCATGTTCGTATGTTTATTGGCAATTTGTATTTTTGTGAATTTTCTGTTCATGGCCTTCATTTATCTTGGAATATTTTTTTCCCATTGTTTTGTAAGAGACCTTTAGAAATTAAGAATTTAACCATTTGACATATATTGCAAATAGCTTTTTTAGTTTGTCTTTTAATTTTAACTTACTCTGGGGCACCTGGGTGGCTCAGTTGGTTAAGCGACTGCCTTCAGCTCGGGTCATGATCCTGGAGTCCCAGGATCGAGTCCTGCATTGGGCTCCCTGCTCAGCAGGGAGTCTGCTTCTCCCTCTGACCCTTCCCCCTCTCATGTGCTCTTTCTCTCTCTCTCTCTCATTCTCACTCTCTCTCTCAAATAAATAAATAAAATCTTTTAAAAAAATTTTAACTTATTCTATTTTTACCTACACAAGTATTTTTTTCGCAGTCAGATATACCAATATTTTGTGATCTCTTCCATGACTTTTATTCTTAAAAGACTTTTCCAATCCCATAATCAGATACTTTTCTTCTTATTTTATGGTTTCTTTTTTTACTTTTAACTCCATCTGGAAATTTTTTGATATGAAGGATGGCATAGAGCTGATGCTTTCCCTCAAATACCATTTATTGAATTTTTTTTTTTTTAGAGAGGGGGAGAGAGAGAGAGCATGCATGAGCAGGGGCAGAGGGAGAGAGAGAGAGAATCTTAAGCAGGCTCCACATCCAGCATGGAGCCTGATGTGGGGCTCAGTCTCACGACCCTGAGGTCATGACATGAGCCCCTGAAAATTTTCTTCTCCACATCATCTCAAATTTTTAGTGTGAGTTGAGCAAATTTCCCATTGTTTTTGTAGTAGCAAGTATCAAGAAGCTAATATTTGAGGCGCCTGGGCGGCTCAGTCGGTTAAGTGTTCAACTCTTGATTTCGGCTCAGGTCATGATCTCAGGGTTGTGACATGGAGCCCTTTATCAGGCTCTGTGCTGGGCATGGAGCCTGCTTAAGATTTTCTCTTTCCTTCTCTGCCCCTCCCCCCACTCAGGCTCGCACGCTGTCTCTCTGTCTCTCTCAAATAAATAAATAAATCTTTTAAAAAAAGAATTTGGATATTACTTACATTAAAATGTTACATATGGGGCACCTGGGTGGCTCATTCAGTTAAGCGTCAGCCTTTGGCTCGGGTCATGTTCCCAGGGTCCTGGGATCAAGCCCTGCATAGGGCTCTCCCTGCTCAGTGGGGAGCCTACTTCTCCCTCTCCCTCTCCCTCTCCCTCTGCCTGCGTTCCCCTTGCTTGTGCTCGCACTCTCTCTCTCTGTCAAATAAATAAAATCTTTAAAAAATAATAAAAAAATAAAATGTTACATGCAAAATTTAAATTATATATTACAACAGGAAACAGGAAATGATCCTTTGGAATCCTATTACATGATCATTTAGAAATTACACTTTCACATTTTACTTTTGTTTTTCATACATTTTGGTTTTGGATAAGTTTCATACGGCTCCATTGTTATTCCCCAGATAATTATTAAGTTTTTCTCATCATTTTCCTGATTTCTAACTGTCAAGACACAAAATATAATTCCTGATGAGAATATTCAAGCATATAGTCCTTAGAAGAAAAAAATTACTATAAACATAAGCTTAAACATTCATAATAAAAATCTGTGTTAGTGTTTTATGTCATTTAGTTGAATGTATTTATTGTAAACCATTGGATTAGCATTGGTCATAAAATTATGTATACAGCATGGACCCTTCTTAAGAATCAAATAAGATCAAATGTAAGTAAGAGGTGAGATTTTTCACAAAGATGCCTAGATGACGCTATTAATTGAAATAACATTTAGTTCGGGCGCCTGGGTGGTTCAGTTGGTTAAGCAACTACCTTCGGCTCAGGCCATGATCCTGGAGTCCCGGGATCGAGTCCCACATCGGGCTCCCTGCTCAGCAGGGAGTCTGCTTCTCCCTCTGACCCTCCTCCCTTTCGTGCTCTCTATCTCTCATTCTCTCTCAAATAAATAAATAAAATCTTTAAAAAAAAAATAACATTTAGCTCTTAAATAATTCAAGTATATACCATCATATAGAACTTGGAAGAAATTTCAATTTTTAGACCAGTTGTTTTACGCACTGTAAGGGGTTTTCCACATTCTTTTGAACCAGAACTCTGTTATAATAAATATGGCTGAAAATGATTATTAGTAGTTGAAAGGGAACTTTGCCTATTGAAAGTAATACAGTTGGCTTTTTCTTTCAGAGATAAAGGATGGGCATGATTATCTTAAATCCATTTGCTATAGAAGGCATAAGTAATGTTCTTTTAGCTATGTTCTCTTTTTTCCTCAAAATTACAAAGAGTAATTTGAAGTTTTAGAATTGTCTTTTCATGTATTTATTAGACAAAAGGGAGGATGATTTCCACCATACCTAATAATTCCCTTTATATTCTGTAAATGGTTGGTCTGCTTTGTAATCAAGCTTAATTAAGATTTGTATTTTTTTCATAAGTCCCTTATGAAGAAGACATGAAAAATAAGTCCCTACTGAATTATCCTCAGTGGTAAACTTTATTGTAATCCTATTTGAATTGATGTAGAAAGGTTGGTAGTATTTCTGACATAGTAAAATTTTATTGTAGCAAAATTTGGCTTTCACATTTTTTTTAGTTAGAATTAAAAGTAAGGAAATGCCTATGTTATGGAATGGCTTTGAAAATAAGTGAAACAGTTTATTACTTGGCCTTTCAAGTCAGTATACTAAAATACCTATCCAGAAATAGAATTATTGGCCTACAGCCTAGTACTTACCCCTTCCTATAACTTGTTAATTAATGACATTATTCTCCACTCAAGTATCTCCTAAAGCCAGAAACCTGAGTATCTTCTCCATTTGTTCTTTATCATGATCCATATCAAGAGTTCGCTAAATACCCTTTACTTTCCCCTCTAAACTGTTTTATGAAAATGTAGATCTGATGATCTCTACCTTTCATGCATATAAACTTTTTATGATCTTCAGTGCCCTTGAGAAGAAGCCCAAACTATTTGGAATGCCTTATTGGCTTTTTGTAGACTGGCCCCATGCATTCAACATACGTTTCTTGTTTGTCTCTACTCTGCCAGGCACTAAGCTACAAGATGAATAAGGTCAAACCTAGAAGCTCAGAGTTTACTGAGAAAGAGAGAAAACATTGGAGAATGTATACAGTGAAGGGGTGGGTCAGTGAAAAACAAGGAGTATAAGGAAGTTGTGTTAAGAAGAGGTTTGGAGGGCGCCTGGGTGGCTCAGTTGGTTAAGCGACTGCCTTCGGCTCAGGTCATGATCCTGGAGTCCCGGGATCGAGTCCCGGAATCGAGTCCCGCATCGGGCTCCCTGCTCAGCAGGGAGTCTGCTTCTCCCTCTGACCCTACCCTCTCTTGTTCTCTCTTTCTCACTCTCTCTGTCTCTGTCTCAAATAAATAAATAAAATAAAATCTTAAAAAAAAAAAAAAAGAGGATTGGATAGGGGGCGCCTGGGTGGCTCAGTTGGTTAAGTGTCCGACTATTGATTTCAGCTCAGGTCATGATCTCAGGGTTGTGAGATCAAGCCCCGTGTCCAGCATTGAGCCTACTTAAGATTCTCTCTCCCTTTCCCTCTCCCTGTCCCCTGCTCTAAAAAAAAGGAAAAAGAGGATTGGATGGAGAAACTAGGAAAGAATGATTGAGTCAGATGCCAAAAAAATGACCAAGAAAATGACAACTTTTATGCAATTGACTTAAATATGTGGACCCTCTGTCTATTGTGCAAGCACTAGGGATTTTAGTTAGGCCAACTCTGGAGAAAGGCATTGGAAACAGCAACTAGAAATTAGAGTATAGGTTTTGGTTCTTTTCCTAATAGTTTTCAGGTGCCCTTAATACACATTTATAAGCCTTTGCCTTTGGGTTTTGTTATGTATGTGTGTCCAAAACATTTTTCTCCTTTTTTACCTTTCCCTTATTCACAGTCTAAAACAATATTTTAAGGCTTTGCCTTTGGGTTTTGTTATATGTGTGTGTCCAAAACATTTTTCTCCTTTTTTACCTTTCCCCTATTCACAGTCTAAAACAATATTTTAGAACAAATGTGGTGATCTGGTGCTTAACACCATAGTTTCAGTTCCAGGTTCTATAAATATCTAGTGGTTTGAAAAGATTTTCTGACTTTGTTTTCTTTCAGCATACTTCTTGATGAAGAAGGTCACATCAAGTTAACAGGTAAAAAATCCTCATTTTATTAAAATATTCTCTTCTACTCTGTATAATTTCTTTTAAGGTTTATTGTAGTACAAATATGGAGTAACACATTGCCTTGAAAACTAGGATTAGAATTTTTTAATAATAAATGTAAATATTAGAACTCAAAGCTTAAACTTTAAATGTGGAAATTATTGTAGGATATTTATGAATTTTATATTTATTTTGGCAGATTTTGGCCTAAGTAAAGAGTCTATTGACCATGAAAAGAAGGCATATTCTTTCTGTGGAACTGTGGAATACATGGCTCCCGAAGTAGTTAATCGTCGAGGTCATACTCAGAGTGCAGACTGGTGGTCTTTTGGTGTGTTAATGGTAAGGATTGGGGTGTTTTTTGAGTTCAGTAATATGGTAGAACTATAAATCACTTGTTATTATATAGCAATTTTACAAGATTTGGTTTGAATTAAGATGATGCTTTTTTACTTTCTGGCCTTGAGATTTTGTACTTATTGACTAATACCTCTGATGATACTGCCTTTTTTGTAGTTTGAAATGCTTACTGGTACACTACCTTTCCAAGGAAAAGATCGAAAAGAAACAATGACTATGATTCTTAAGTAAGTACTCCCTAATGGATATGTTTTGATGAGATTTAAAAATAAATGATTCAAACTAAAATATGAAATTTTATTCATCGATATTATGATGTTAATATTAATGTGTTTCAAATATGAACAAGCCCCGTAGATTTACAGTACTCATGTTATTTTTTTTTCTGGCCACACAAATGGAGCCTTTGGCCTTTATTCATGCCCCCCACCAAGTACAGCCAGAGACAAGGCCCCTGCCCCAAGCAGAAACACCCAGGGGTCCAGGGCTCTGGGTTACATCTCCAAAGGAGTACTCATATAATCCTCATGTTAATGTTAAAATATTGAAAGCTTCGGGCACCTGGGTGGCTCAGTTGGTTAAGCGACTGCCTTCGGCTCAGGTCATGATCCTGGAGTCCCGGGATCGAGTCCCACATCGGGCTTCCTGCTCAGCAGGGAGTCTGCTTCTCCCTCTGACCCTCTTCCCTCTCGTGCTTTCTATCTCTCATTCTCTCTCTCTCTCAAATAAATAAATAAAATCTTTAAAAAAAAAAATACTGAAAGCTTCACCTTTGAGATTTGGAATATGACAGGGACATCCATTATTCCACTTCCGTTCACATTGTCCTGGAGGTACTAGCAAGTACAGTAAGGCCAGGAAAAGAAGTAAGGCTTAAGGTTTAAAAAGAAAGAAGTAAAATTGTCATTATTATATAACAAGATTGTGTCCATAGAAAATCCAAATCTTCATATACATTCTTGGAATTAATAAGAGTTTAGCAAAGTTGTTGGATCAAAGGTCGATAAATAAAATCTATTTCATATCTATATACTAACAACAGAAAATGGAATTTTTTAAAAAGATAGTCTTTACAATAGTATTAAAAACTCAAATAACTATGGATAAATCTAGCAAAAGTTATGCAAAAACTCTATGCAGAAAACTAGGAAATTTTATTTAAAGAAAATTTAAAAGGCCAAAATAACTTGGAAGGTTGTACCATATTCACATTATGACACAGTATTGTAAAGATGTGGGTTTGTATAGATGAGCATTTTCCAATAGAAATGTGATGTGAGCCACGTACTTAATTTTAAATTTTTTAGTAGCAACATTTAAAAAGTAAAAAAAAAATATATTAATTGTAATATATTTTATTTAACTCAATATATACAAGATATTATCATTTCAACATATAATCAACATTAGAAAATGATTCATGAGATATGATACATTTTTTTCATACTTATTTGAAACTCAGTGTGCATTTTATATTTTTTCCAGGGTGCATTTTACACTTACAATTTGGGCTAACTGTATTTCACGTGCTCAGTGGCGGTTTGTTGCTAGTGGCTACCATACTGGACAGCATAACTATAGCCTTAATGCAGATGGAATTTAAATTTTAAGTTTTTTGTATGAAACTTGATAAACTGATTCTAATATAATATATAGTACAATTCTAATATAATATAAAATGCTCCCAAAGAAATCAAGATAGGAAGAATTGCTTTACCAAGTATCCAGTCTTACTCTAAATTTAATTAAGACAAAATGTCATTGAAAGAAGTATAGAAAATATACTTGTGCAATAGAATAGAGAGCCAGGTAACAGAACTATATATATATATAGACATTTGATTTATGACCACTGGAAATTGCAGAACAGTAGGGAAGTAACAGCCTTTTTAAACAAATCATGCTAGAAAAATCATATATAAAAAGATAAAACAATCCCTACCTCATGCCACACACAATCATTTCCAAGTATATTACAGATATACATATATTTTAGTATATGTGCTGCCAAAGTAAGCATACAAATATATATGTATTTACATATATATGTAAATAGGCAAAAATAGGTAAAATATATGTAAAAAGGCAAAAAAAAAAAAAAGCTTCTATAAGAGTATAGGAGGTTTTGCGCCTGGGTGGCTCAGTTGTTAAGTGTCTGCCTTCGGCTCAGGTCATGATCCCAGAGTCCTGGGATCGAGTCCCGCATCAGGCTCCCTGCTCAGCGGGGAGCCTGCTTCTCCCTCTGCCTGTCTCTCTCTGTCTCTTCTGAATAAATAAATAAAATCTTAAAAAAAAAAAGAGTATAGGAGGTTATTTTCATGATCTTTGGGTGGAAAAATAGTCTTCAGACGCAAAAAGCACTAGCCATAAAAGAAAAGACTGATCAATTATTATTACATAAAACTGATTAACTCCTCATCAAAAGATTCCATTGAGAGAGTAGAAGAAAACATTTGAGACACGTAAGCAGCAGAGGGCTTGTATCCAGAATATATCAAGAACTCCAGTCAATCAGTAAGAAAAAGACAGCCCAATAGAAACGTGGGTAAGAGATGCAGGGACTTCACAAAAGAGGATATTTAATGGCCAATAAATAGTTGCTCACCCTCGCTAGTCAGAAAATACAATGAGTTACAACTGCATACCCACCAGAATGGCAACCAGTAAAAAGACTGACAATGTAAAGTGCCATAGGATGTGGAGCAGTGGCAACTTTTATCCATAGCTGGAAGGAATATAAATACTCTTATAACCACTTTGGAAAGCAGTTTTTGACATTATCTTCTAAAGCCAAATATATGTATACCCTCATCCAGTAATCCCATTCGTAGGCATGCACTCAGTTTACATGCATCAAGGTACTTGCACATCAAGAAACTAGAACAAAGATGTTCATAGCAGCATTATTTGTAATAGCCAAAAAGTGGAAAACGGATTACTAGCGGTAGAGTAGATTCATAAATTATGTTATTCATACATGAGATACAGCAGGGGTTGACAAACGATCTGTAAATATTTTAGGCTTTGCAAGCCAATACACACTGTGTCTGTCACATATTCTTATTGTTTATTGTTTGTTTCCAACGCTCTAAAAATGTAAAAACCTGGGCGCCTGGGTGGCTCAGTCAGTTAAACCTCCAACTCTCGATTTCAGCTCAGGTCATGCTCTCAGGGTCATGGGATCAAGCCCATGTCGGACTCCGCCCTCAGCACAGAGTCTGCTTGTCTCTCCCTTTGTTCTTCTCTGCCACTTGCACTCTCTCTCTCAAATAAAATCCTTAAAAAAATGTAAAAACCATTCTTAGCTCGAAAGCCATACAAAAAGAGACTGAAGTCTTTGGCCCAGGGGTACAGTGTGCCATACAGCAAAGACAACAAACCACAGTTACATGCAGGTACTTGGGTAAATCACGTAAGAATGCTGAGCAGACAGATACAAAAGAATAAATAACTATATGATTCTATTTATAAAGTTTTTTTTTGTTTTTTCTTTCCAAAGATTTTACTTATTTACTTAAGAGAGAGTGAGAGAGAGCATGAGCCAGGGGCAAGGAGAGGGAGAAGCAGGCTCCCTGCAGAGCTGGGAGCCCGATGCAGGGCTCTGTGCGGGGCTCGATCCCAGGGACCCAGGACCATGACCTGAGGCGAAGGCAGATGCTTAACCAACTGAGCCTCCCAGGCGCCCCTCTATTTATAAAGTTTTAAAGCAGACAAACTAAAGCACAGTTTTTAAGGTCCGTATTTAGATGGCAACAGCCAAGGCAAAATAAGAAAAGTGGTTACTTGAATGAGGGGTTACAGTGTTACATTTCTTGGCCACATGACTGTTCACTTTGTGGTAAGTCAGTGAACTGTATACTTTGGTGATGTTGGGGTTGTGCAGGGTTGGTTTGTTTTGCACTTTATGTTATTCTCCACAATAAAAAAGGTAAAAAAAATATTTGCTATATAAATTAATGTTCCCTAAACCTTCATTACTCCATCGATCCTGGCCCCTTCCTTTCAGCTAACAAATATACTCTAGTGTTGGGGGAAAAAAAAAAAAACAACCCTTTCTTTGACCTGGCTTCCTTTCAACTTTCTGCCCATCTTTCTGCATCCTTTCATCACAAAGCCTCTTTAAAGAATAGTCTGTGCTTTCTGTTACCATTTCTTGGCTGCTTTTATTCCACAACCTGTTGATCGTTCATTCCCACCACTCTCCTGAAACTCCCCTTATTATGGTCAGCAGTGATCTGGTTGCTTAAACCAGTGACAGGTTGTTAGAAAGGTGACTCTCTGCACCATTTGTTCACACAATTCATTCAACAGATGATTGAGGGTCTTCCTACATTTATGTAGGATGCAATGTGAACAAGACGGACAGGATCTTCTCTGGTCTCACAGAGCTTGCATTCTAGTCGGGGAGACAAGGAATTAATATTTAAACAAATGAATATAGGGCGCCTGGGTGGCTCGGTTGGGCAACTGCCTTCGGCTCAGGTCATGATCCTGGAGTCCCGGGATCGAGTCCCACATCAGGCTCCCTGCTCAGCGGGGGGTCTGCTTCTCCCTCTGACCCTCTTATGCTCTCTCTCATTCTTTCTCTCTCAAATAAATAAAAAATCAAAAAAAAACATGAATATAATAATTTCAGGTAGTAATAGGAGCAATAGGCATAATAAACCAGATTATTCTTGAAGTGTGAGGGAAGGGGCAGGGGCAGAAGCCATTTTAGAGGAGACAGTTAAGAAAGGTGTTTCTGGGAGTATTTGACACTGTTGGCCACTTTCTCCCCATTTAAATCTTCCTCCTCGCATCTGCTTCTCCTGCTTCCCTAACAGTTCCTCTTTTGATCTCCTGCTTGACCATTCCTTCTCTGCCTGCTTTTCTCTGTTTAATTATGAAAAATTTCTAATGTAATTCACAAAAATAGAATACAATGAACACATATATCAGTCATTCAGATTCAACAGACATCAAGATTTTGCCACATTTGCTTCATCTCTTTCTTCACTGAAATATTTTAAGCATTCCAGACATGCCATTTCTCACCTACTGCAGTTTGCATCGCTAGAAAATACGGATGTTTTCTTACATAACCACACCTAACAAGACACTGCTAAGGTATCCACTAATACCAGTTCTTAACCAGACTTTTCAGATTTTCTCCAGAATTGTGTCTTTATAGTCCCAAATCACATCTGAACATTTCATTTGGTTGTATTTCTCAAGCTTCTGTTTTTCCAGAACACTCTACCTTGTTTTTCCCTACCATTTACTTGTAGAAGAAACCAAGATAGTTTTATAGAATTCCACTTTCAGAATTTATCTTGTCAAAAAGACAACCTCTCAGTATATGAAACAAAAAGCATAAAGCCGATCCTATTGCTTACTATAGTAAGGAAGAGTGATGCTGATCTAATAGTGTCTAAGCAGCATAGACCACTGTTCTTAACATAGGGTTTGGGGGAAGGGTGTTCAAGAATTGGCAGATTTTCAGGGCCATAAGTGGGTTGACATCATCTCTAATAAGAGTGGTTACTTGGGTGGGACTGTTGTTGATCACTTGGCACTCAGGTGTGGTTGTTGGAGTCAGTCCACTCTTGTTTGGCTGATTTTCACAGATGAAGAGCAGGTACTGATTGGTTGGTTTGGAAAAAAACAAAAACAAACAGTGTTTACCTAGGCAAGTTGTTTTTGATCAATTGAATGAGTTTAAAGCCAGTTCTTGTGGCTCTCTTGTTAACATGGTTACACAATTAGTCTTTTCCTAGGAGTGTTGAAATTGTTTTATTCTCCTTGTAATATTGTTTAACTTGTTCCTTTATCGCATTTCTGGTTAAGCTTTTTTGGGCAAGATTATTTCATAGCTCATGCTGCACCCTGTTGCATCACATCAGAAGGCTTAGAACACCTGGTTGTCCCACTTTAAGTGATGAGTTCTATAGTTACAGCTGATCCCTCTATTACGAAGTTCCCTGGCAGGCTTTCATCTAGTGGTTTCAACCATTGGTAATCATTACTTGAAACAGTTATTTTATTAGGGATTCAAAAATTGTGATTTTCTATTACTTTTATTCCTTCTTTATTTATTAGCTGGTATTTTCCAAAACACTGAACTTTCTCTAATCAACTAGGGCTCTTTAGTTACCTTGAAATAAGGCTCAAACAAGAAAGGCAGAATAAATATTTGATTCTTAATTATTTCCAATTGCCAGAGCCCTGATTACCTCCAGTGGGGATGGTGTCCAGTGAGTTGGGTTTTATGTTAGTTTTTTCTTTTTCTTATTTTATTATAATGAATCTATGGGATTTAATAATCAGTGTGATTCAGCATTTACAAACAGTTGCATTCATTATTTTTAATGCTCAAATTGTTCTTTTTCTGACCACTCTTTAAATGTTCTTGTACCCCAGGGTTTCATCTCTGATATGCTTTTCTTCTTTTCTGTGCTCATTTTCCTGGCTGACTTCAGTCTTTCCTATAACTACTGTCAGCATTTTAATTACTCTCAAATTACTCTTTCTTTCTTTAACTTAACCAGGCATCAGATCTATATTTGCATTTACTCACCTGCATGGCTCTCTGAAAACGTGATATGTATGACTTAACATTTTTAAACTAAATTTATGTTTGCTGTTCTTTTTTCTTGTTGTATTTTCAATTAGCCTCATTTCTAAGCACCCTATTTCCCAAGCCAGAAACCTAAAAATCATTCTTGATTTCTTCCCCTCTCTTGCAATGCAGGTATTGACCAAATTTGCTTTCAGAAATATTTCACTGTCCCAGGCTTTCCTTTACATTGCACTGCTTACAGTTCTTAGACCATGGTAGTTTCCTACCTACACTACTGAGTCAAGCTCCTAAGTAGAATGCCTACAACTACCACCACTTCCCACTCCAGATCAATCTATACTACCTTTGGAGTTAACCTTGTTGAAAATAAATTTGGTCATGTTAGTCCACTGTTTAAAGACCTCTGCTATATCCTTATTACCTAATATGGCTGTATTTTCCCAGATTTGTTCAACAGAACCCTAATTCTACAAGATGTGAATAGGTATTCTCTGAAAAAGAGGTACTGGAAGCAAATGTTTAGAAAAATACTGATTACTTTAGATTTCTCAGCCTTTTATATGCAGTGTATTTTATTCTGTGTCTCCAACAGGGGGTATAATAGATACATTCCACAAATTTATTAGATCATGAAGTATTTTGTTGTTGTTGCTGAGTGTCTAGAGAATTTAAAGTTATTTAGTAAAATGTTGGGGGAACACTGGCCAAGTGAATAAATTCTCAACCTTTAAACTGCATTTAAGGCCTTTCAGTCTCTCATGTTAAATTAGATGATCCCCTGCTGTTCCCTTAGCAGTCTTTCCATATGTCCTTCTGAATTTGCCTCTTCACATACTAGGGTTATCCTCGGGTTATCCATCTCTGTCTTCCCCACTAACTGTGGGGGGCTATCTTTATCTCTATATCCTCAGCACTAAGGAATATCTGGCACGTAGTAGCTGAGTAACAACTCACTGAATAATAAATGGATCTATTTCTGAAGTAGAAATTTCTCTGCTAGCCATTTCTCCAGCTCTGTTATTATTTTCATACTTAGAGGATCATTAGTTTCCTTAGTTTATAAGTTAGAAAAAAAGAATAAAATTATATATTAGAGCTGAAACTGACCTTCAAGCTCATTCAAGCTGGTGGGTTTCAGACTGTGTGCTGTAGACTCTTAGATGTTCCACAGACCCTTTTCCCACCAGCTCCTCTTCCTTGTAGGACTATTAAAGGGAATGGGAGGAAAACATAGGCATATGTAGCACATGTTCTTTTAGCAGTTTTAAATAGTGGATTTCTTTTTTTTTTTTTTAAGATTTTATTTATTTATTTGACAGAGAGAGACACAGTGAGAGAGGGAACACAAGCAGGGGGAGTGGAGAGGGAGAAGCAGGCTTCCCACTGAGCAGGAAGCCCAATGTGGGACCCGATCCCAGGACTCTGGGATCATGACCCGAGCCAAAGGCAGACGCTTAACGACTGAGCCACCCAGGCGCCCTAAATAGTGGATTTCTTAAATTTCTTTTGAAAAAAGGTTCCAAGGCTACAGTTTGGGAGCCATTGATCTGACGGTTAGTCCCCTTGCTTATAAACTGGTAACAGACCGAAGGGAATTTTTTCCCAAGGTCATAAAGTTCTTAGTAACAGTGCCAGAACTAAAACTCACATGATCTTACTCTCACAATAGTGCTTATTGCAAAATTTATAAAAACGGAAAAGTTTGTTAGAAGATTATGGACTAGGGGTGCCTGGGTGGCTCAGTCGGTTAAGTGTCTGTCTTCAGCTCAGGTATTGATCCTGGGGTCCTGGGATCGAGCCCCACATCGGGCTCTCTGCTCAGCAGGTAGTCTGCTTCTCCCTATCCCTCTACCCCTCTCCCTGCTTGTAGTCTGTCACTCTCTCTCTCTCTCTGTCAAATAAATAAATAGAATCTTTAAAAAAAATTATGGACTAAAATTCTATTAAATGTTCACACAAAAAAACCATACACAAATGTTCATAGCATCTTTATTTGTAGTAACCCAAAATTGGACACAATCCAGATGCCCTTCAACAGGTAAGTAGATAAACTGTGGTACATCCACACCATGGAATACTAATCAACAACTTGGATGAATCTCAAGGGAATTTATGCTGAGTAAAAAAAGATTGCACACTTTATGATTATACTTACATAACATTCTTAAAATGACAGAATTATAGAAATGTAGAATAGATTTGTGATTGCCAGAGGTTAGGAATTGGATAGGGAAGGAGGTAGGTGTGGTTATAAAGGGACAACGTGAGGTATGCTGGTGGTAATGAACTGTTGAGTATCTTTACTGTGGTGGTGGATACAGGAACCTATACATATGGTAAAATGGCATAGATCTAAATTTAAACACACAATGAGTGCAGTTAAAACTGGAGACATCTGAAGGAGATCAGTGGATTGTATCAATGTCAGTATTCTGGTTGTGATAGTGTACTATAGTTTTTTAAGATATGACCATTGGGGAAAACTGGGTAAAAGGTACACATGATCTACCTGTATTATTTCTTACAACTTAGTATAAATCCACAATTATCTCAAAATAAAAAATTAAATTTCTTAAAATAAAATACAAATACCTCCAAAAAATAAAATGTTATTATGTGGATTTATTATTTAGAGCCAAACTTGGGATGCCACAGTTTTTGAGTCCTGAAGCCCAGAGTCTTTTACGAATGCTTTTCAAACGAAATCCTGCAAACAGATTAGGTAAAATTTGTAATTAATTTGTTTCTTTTGTGTGTTTGTTGGTCTTCGGGATTTTTTGATGGGGGGAGGTGGATATTTGTTTTTGTTGTGGAATTATGACATAGTAGGACAAACACTAAAAGCAAAGACTAAATAAATTATATATTCCTCCTTGAAATAAAATTGCCCTTTAATCAAAAATTTTAAACCATTTAATTTTTGATAGGTGCAGGACCAGATGGAGTTGAGGAAATTAAAAGACATTCATTTTTCTCAACAATAGACTGGAATGTGAGTATAAAATAAAAATTTGTTTGAATTTTTTTTATAATTAATGCATGTCTAAGTCTCTCTTTTTTCCCCCACCAGAAACTGTACAGAAGAGAAATTCATCCGCCTTTTAAACCTGCAACTGGCAGGCCTGAAGATACATTCTATTTTGATCCTGAGTTTACTGCAAAAACTCCCAAAGGTAAGGAGAAAATGTGAAAACCTAAATGTAACATATATATATATGACTCTTAATGCTATTCTCATATCTCCCCATCATACCATATCCCTGCTGCAATAACTAGATAATTAATAAATCCTTTATAGCATTTTATAGCAGTTAAGATCCTTGTTAACTCTTTTAGCAAATTAGGTTGTGCCTTAAACTTTGATACTATTTATGTGAAAAAATTCTTTGGTTGTGCATTTATTTACCTGTAGCTGTTTTTACATGAAATACTCTTCAGTATAGATAGTACTCTTTAAAACTCTGATATTAGGTAGTATTCTGGAAGTACTTGTCAAGTTCAAATCCAAAACATAAACTTTATATGAGGTGTGATAATTTCAAAATGATTCATATTCTGTGTCATGCTTTATCCTAGAATTGCATAAACAGTGACTATGATTAGAGAAATTATCTTTGAAATGGTAATCTGTATTTCATTAAATTAGTGTATGTATGCATGTAATGGTGTGTTCTGCACTCTAATACTCTCTCATTTAGGTGTACCAGACCCCAGGTTTATCATTGACAAGCAAATAAATAAAAAGTATATTTGCATATATTTTCTATAGAGTACATCATTTAAACCTCACTATAAAGCTTTCCAGTCAATAACCTCATAAATTATGTTAAACACTGGTGGCTATTTATTATTTTTATAAGACAGTCTTAGAAATTTTGATTAATACATGAACAAAATTTTATCAAATACATGAACAGTGGTATGCGTAGAATTGATGATATATGGTAATGTTTTACTTTGCTTTCTCATTACAATTTGGCCTGATAGAGGAAAAATCTCAAAAGAGAGCAGTTATATATTATATTCTGCCCAAATTGGTTCTCTTAGAAGAGTTCTTCAGTATGGTTCTCTTAGCAGAGTTCTTCAGTATAATACTGTCACATTGGTTTAAAATGCACTAAACAGTCTTTGTTGCTGAGAATATCAAGCTGATGTTAAAAAAGAACTTTATGTGGAGTTGATGTTTAAGTATATTTGCCTGTTTGGTTTTTGCTTGCCCTTAGCCTTTATAGTATGATTATAAATATTAGTATGCTTAATTGTGTATTTATATTTATGAATAGCACATTTGTTCTGCTTTTATTGTTTGTTTTTGTTGTGAACTACAAGTTTAATTATATTTTTTAAAAAAAGTATTTTTCTATTTTTGTTAATGCCAGTAGATTCCACACAAATAATTTGAGTAACCATACATGTCATGTCATAAAATATATTTTAAGGACTGCATACCATGATTGTCTCAGAAATTACTTTTGTTCCTGGGGCGCCTGGGTGGCTCAGTTGGTTAAGCGTCTGCCTTCGGCTCAGGTCATGATCCTGGGGTCCTGGGATGGAGCCCCACATCTGGCTCCGTGCTCAGCGGAGAGCCTGCTTCTCCCTCTCCCTCTGCCTGCCACTCTGCCTACTTGTGCTCTCTATCTCTCTGTCAAATAAATAAATAAAATCTTTAAAAAAAGAAATTACTTTTGTTCCTTACATATATAAATGTAGTAATTTTTAACTTGTTTAGATTGCCAGATTCTGATATTATATATTGAGACTACCAGACTAAATCCCTTTCTCCTAAATTATCTGTAGGTGAAACTTGTATCTTCCCCTCACCAGGAGCCGTAGCACTGTTAGGTTATCATGTAGGGTGGCACTGTTTAATATGGTAGCCAGTAGTCATGTGTGGTTATTTCAATTTAAATTAATTACAATTTAAAATGTTGTTTCTCAGTCACACTAACCACATTTCAGATGCCCAGGAGCTGCATGTGGCCAGTGGCTACCATATTGGACAGCACAGATAAAGAAAATTTCCATCACTATAGGAAATTCTATGAGACAGTGCTAATTTAGAATAACATTAGCCTAGTAATTCGTTGATTTATTATATTCTTCAATGAGCTAGCTATTTTCTGGGCTCAGAGGAACTAGGATGTTAGAGTTGTGATGCCAATAAGCCATCAGGACAAAGCTGATAGAGTGTTTCACTGAGTTATCCTAGAAGCCCTGGATGCCTAAGAAGTGGAATTGCAGAATAAGTGAGAAAGGTCATACTGTCAATAGTTCTTCCCTTAATTATCTTTCAGAGTATTACCTTCTTAGTAATGTATTACTCTTTTCAGATTCACCGGGTATTCCACCTAGTGCTAATGCACATCAGCTTTTTCGGGGGTTTAGTTTTGTTGCTATCACCTCAGATGATGAAAGCCAAGCTATGCAGACAGTTGGTGTGCATTCAATTGTGCAGGTGAGTGAATGTATAAATAATTTAAAATTTGAAATGTTGTAAAATATAGTTCACTGTGTGAATAATTAGATTTAACTGCTGATTTTAAGTGGGCAGTTTAAAATAATACATTTTATATCATTGATGTTACTCTTAGGAATTCCTTTCATATGCCTTTAAAAAGATAGGGTGCCTGGGTGGCTTAGTTGGTTAAGCGTCCAACTCTTGATTTCAGCTCAGGTCGTGATCTGGTCGTGGGATCAGGCCACTGGCAGGGCTGTGCACTCAGTGCGGAGTCAGCTTGAGATTCTCCCTCTGCCTCCCACCTGCCCCAGCTTGCACACGCCCGTGTGTGCTCCTTCTTTCTCTAAAATAAATAAATAATGAATCTTTAAAAAAAAAAAAAAAAGATTGCATGCACCAGAGTCCTGGATACCTATCTGACTTGAAAGGGGAGGGGCGCCTGGGTGGCTCAGTTGGTTAAGCCTCTGCCTTCGGCTCAGGTCATGATCCTGGGGTCCTGGGATCAAGCCCCACGTCAAGCTGCCTGCTCAGTGGGGAGTCTGCTTCTCCCTCTCCCTCTGCCCCTCCCCCTGCTTGTGTTCTCCCTCACTCTGCACTCTCTCTCAAAGAAATAAAATCTTAAAAAAAAAGGGGGAATTCTAAGAGAGTTGAGATACATACCACCATCTTATCTATACCCTCTCCTATGCCTCATAATGTTTATCTGGCCTAATTTGTTTCATCTTCTGCCTCTGTCAGGTCAGTTATGATGAACTGAGTTCTCCTGGTTCCCTGATGGCTTGGAACAGGGCTCAGCAGACTTGTTCTGTAAAGGGCCAATTAATAAATATTTGAGGCTTTGTAGGCTATATGATCTCCATTACAACGACTCAGCTCTGCCATTGTAGCACAAAAGTAGCCATGGACTACAGCTAAATAAATGAGCGTGGCTGTGTGCCAATAAAATTTTATTTACAAAAGCTAGTAATGAAACAGATTTGGCCCACAGGCTATATAGTTCGCCAACTTCTGCCGTAGAAATGTGTAAGAAATAAAAGTGAACTTCACTCTTAATGTTTTCCAAGTTTTGTGTCCTTGTTCTTTTGGAGCCCCCATTGCTATTTAAAAGAAATGGTTATAGGTACAATCTTAGGGTGTCCCCCACCTCATTATCCCATCTGTGTCTCAGAGTTGGAGCACAAGGTAAAAACAACAGAAGCAGGTTTCCAGATGTCTGTGTGTTTGTAACAGGAGACTGAACTAGTAAATGTTATTAGAGGAACACAAGTAGTAAAAACCATTAGATTTATTTCATCCCATCCTAGTATCATGGAAAGGGAAATTTAATTCATCTTCCGAATCATAGAGGGAATAGATATATCTTTTGAAGCACTGATTGTTTTTAGTGCTTGAATTTACTTGATGATGAAGTTGCTTTTGCTCCAAAGTTTTTTTCCTGAGTTAAGTTGCTTTCCACTTTCTAGAAAACCAATTTAAACACTGATTTTTAAATAAAGTTCATGGGGCACCTGGGTGGCTCAGATGGTTAAAGCGTCTGCCTTCGGCTCAGGTCATGATCCCGGGGTCCTGGGATCGAGTCCCACATCGGGCTCCCTGCTCCTTGGGAGCCTGCTTCTCCCTCTGCTTCTCTCTCTCTCTCTCTCTCCTCCTCTGTCTCTCATGAATAAATAAATAAAATCTTTTAAAAAAATAAATAAATAAAGTTCATGGTTGAAGTAGTTTGTTCCTTTTACTATAGCAAGCATGTGATGTATGGCAAGTTTTTAAGTTATAACTTCTGTACCTAACATAGAAATCACAAACATATATTCTACAGAATTCAAATGTTAACCTATACACAGTTCATAGGCATTGGGGGGTGGGGGTCTCCTTTCAATATAGCCAAGGACAGCACAACTTCCCTCAGCCTGCTTATGGAACTGCTAATATGCTAGCCATCATCCTACCACGTGTTACTAGTCCTTAACCCTTTAACAGCTTCTCTAGCAGAAGTTGTATTGAAACTTTGACTTGAGGGTGGAAATGGAGGGCATGGCTACTGATAGTCCACAATGATGATAATAGGTATCACCTTCAAATATGTTATTTTTATTTAATCCTCACCATTACCCTCTGAGAAAACACATGTTCAGGGTTGCATTCTGCTAGAGGGGCATCTGAGACAAGAATCCGGATATTCTAATTCTGAATACTCCTAAATCTTTTCTTCTATACCAGAGGCTTCAAACTTCTCCCTATTTGCAAAAGTACTTCAAAGGCCTAACGCCAGTTGGGGGGTGGAATAGGGCTCAGTCGCAGGCAGGGCTTTCAACCCCTTATCAAGTAACTCTGCATTTTCTGTTGTACATACTCAATTTTTTCTTTTTAAAAAGCCTATTTCTTGGGGCGCCTGGGTGGCTCAGTCGTTAAGCGTCTGCCTTCACTCAGGTCATGATCCCAGGGTCCTGGATCAAGCCCCGCATCAGGTTCCCTGCTCAGCAGAGAGCCTGCTTCTCCTTCTCCCCCTGCCCCTCCTTGTGTTCCATCTCTCGCTATCTCTGTCTCTGTCAAATAAATTAATAAAATCTTTAAAAAAAAACTTCTTAAAAAAATTGAAAGCCTATTTCTTGCTGTACGTTTTATGGTAGACACCTCTAAAATACATAGTTGTAGAAGAAGAAATGCTCTAAAGATTCATTTTATTTTTGCTTATATTCATTTATATTTATTGTTAACATCAACAATGCATAATGGGTAACATATTCCCCTATTATGAATTGTACCATAGTCATTACAAAACGCTTTGTCAATTTGTAATTGTCTTTGTAGCAGTTGCACAGAAACAGTATTCAGTTTACTGATGGATATGAAGTAAAAGAAGATATTGGAGTTGGCTCCTACTCTGTTTGCAAGAGATGCATACATAAAGCTACAAACATGGAGTTTGCAGTGAAGGTAAATATTTTTAGATTTAAAATGCAACTCTGGGGCGTCTGAGTGGCTCAGTCAGTTGAGCATCTGACTCCTGATCTCAGCTCAGGTCTTGAACTCAGGGTCATGAGTTCAAACCCCACGTTGAGCTCCACGCCCAGCATGGAACCTACTTAAAAAAATTAAAATAAAATATAAAATGCAACTCTTAACAGTTATTATTCACATGTGTCAGTACCAGTTAAACTTAAATACTTCTTCTTTGGTAAATGTGCCTTTTGTTTTGTTTTGTTTTTTAAAAAAGCTAAGGTAAATTTAAATGTTTGCCTAGCAACCCTTAGGGATCTTAATCTGGAACCACAGATTCACCTGTAAACTAAAGGCAAGGTAGCATACCTCCAGTTTGCTCAAGGCATTAGTACAGTTTACACCTGGCCTGGTTTTTAGTAACATCCTTTTACTCTAAAAAGTCCCCCATTTTGTGGTCTAAGTATCAGGGAATTCCTCAAGATTGTATGCCAAATTTTGTGTTTCCATTTTTCTGGCAAAAATGTTCATACTGTTCTTTACATATAAAAGGATCTGTAAACCAATAAAAGTGAACCACTACTGTTATAAAATTTATTATCATTAGCTGTTTTAATTTCAGCAGGTATCAAGACAGTAAGAATTTTCTAAGCCAAAAACCAAATCACATGGCTCTATAATAAAGTTTGAGTTACAGGGTGCCTGGGTGGCTCAGTTGGTTAAGCGACTGCCTTCGGCTCAGGTCATGATCCTGGAGTCCCGGGATCGAGTCTCACATCGGGCTCCCTGCTCAGCGGGGAGTCTGCTTCTCCCTCTGACCCGCCCCCCTCTCATGCTCTCTATCTCATTCTCTCTCTCAAATAAATAAATAAAATCTTTAAAAAAATAAAAATAAAAATAAAAAAGTTTGAGTTACAAACCTGTAGCTGTAAGTGAAAAAATACTATATTCAAGTCTCTGCCTTTTCATTTCTTGAGATGGTAGTCACTACTCTCCCAGTACAAGCAATTTAAGTAATATGTAAAGCTTTCAACTTATTTTGGACCTTAGAACTGGTCTATAAGTGTGGGTAGCTCATGTTTAGTTAGTAGGAGAGGGGCATTAATTATTATTTCCGTACATCCATGCGTCATCTAATATGATTTCACTGTGTAAAAATAAAAATGTGTTTTATATATGCATAGCAAATATCTGGGAAGACACACACATACACAAAAAAATTGTAATTACTATTCTTTTTTTAAATTTTTTATTGTTATGTTAATCACCATACATTACATCATTAGCTTTTGATGTAGTGTTCCATGATTCATTGTTTGTGCATAACACCCAGTGCTCCACGCAGAATGTGCCCTCTTTAATACCCATCACCAGGCTAACCCATCCCCCCACCCCCCTCCCCTCTAGAACCCTCAGTTTGTTTTTCAGAGTCCATCGTCTCTCATGGTTCATCTCCCCCTCCAACTTACTCCCCTTCATTCTTCCTCTCCTGCTATCTTCTTCTTTTTTTGTAATTACTATTCTAAACTTAGATGTAATTGTTTTAAAAATCATCAGTGTCCGGCTTTCTGTCAGATGTAGGATGAACCATAGAAATGCATGTTAATTTGCTCTTCTCCTACTCATTGCTCATAGTGAAATCTGGGGTACATAGGAATTTTCAGATTGCTTACATGAAAGGAGAGAAGGTGAGTAATATACATGATGGGCAGTTTAAGGATGTATCTTGCCTCCATAAACACATCAGAAAAAAAGTAAAAGTGCCCTCGGGCCCCCTTTGAATTACAGAAACCAGAAGCTGTATACCAAAACCTTGAGAATATCTTCAAGCTATTTGTGGATTCGTGTGACTTAAATTTGATTCATAAAACCAATCCTAGCACAACTTCATTCTACTGAAATTACTACAAATCTAAGATCTACAAACACAAGTATGAATGTGACGTAAACTCTGCTCAGATTAGCAGATCAAAGAGAATGTTGCTGGGAATAACACCTCCCAGTGTGTTCTAGTTTTCAAAAGACTAGTCCCGGATCATATCCCCTGAATTAGGGATGTCTATTTCATATACCTTTCGTCTTAATCATCCATTTGCCTAATTCCACACTGTCATTTGCATTTGATTACGGTGTACACCTAATGTTTGTATTCCCTGTTCTCCACATACAGAACTGTTTTACAGCTAAATCCATTTCAGATAGCAGATTTGGCTCATACTGTGAGTTGCAAGCTCTTTCCTTGACTGCTGGAGCATTTGAGTATTTATTGTGTACATCAATTACTAAGCTTTTTTGAAATTGAAAGTATGAAGGTCACAAAATTTGTTTCAGACTACCCTCTGGACAAAATGAAAGCCAAACTTGTCCTTTTAAAAATATTACTTTAACAGATTAAAACATTAAGAGGTGTATTTTTAAGAAGCAGCTGACATAAAAGGGTTGGAAAGCTACATTAGTATTTTAAAGGGCTTTATTATAATAATTAAACTTAACACTAGCCAAGTAAAATTCTAGGTGTGGTTTTCTGCTTAGCTTTCTGCCTAGCTTCAAAAATAAGCTTGTTCTACTTAGCTGTGAATTTTTTATAAGTAGCTTACAACTAATTGGTTATTCCATTGAAGCCTTTTATTAAAGGAAGTAAAGTTAACTCAATAAACAGATGTTAGTAGTGGTATTATAGATACATCTTGTTCTTAATTATCTGTATTGATAGGGGTTAGAAGTTGACTGAGTTTCCAAGGTTTTAAGACATTCAAGGATGGAAGAAAGGTATGTTCTTGGTACCTTTTCTTGAGGCTTTTGAGCGTTTAGAAAGTCCTAAACTTAGACTGGCTTTCAAATTTTGATTAGACAGTCTGGCCAGGTACTTGAATAAAACTGGTTGATAAATGGCTCATATGTCCAGTATTTATGTAAGATAATACCTAAAGTCTGTAGCTGTAAATTCTTAAGGTTTGTGACCTTAATAGTTCATGAGATTTTATGATAAATATTTGCCTTTTAGATCATTGATAAAAGCAAGAGAGACCCAACAGAAGAAATTGAAATTCTTCTTCGTTATGGACAGCATCCAAACATCATTACTCTAAAGGACGTAAGTAGTAGATTCTTGAACTCTGATCATTTGAATCAGTTGTCCAGCTCACATTTGGAATGTTTTCAAATATCATGTGGTAGACAAAGAACTTAATAAAAGTTTTTAAAAAATTGAAGGACCACATATATAGCATAATTTCAGTTATAAAGAAAAACCTGTTGATATAGTTAATTTTTATACTTTTGCTTTAAGAAGAAAAGTGTTGCTGATATTATTGCTTTTGATATCTTTGTTGGAACGTGTGTACTAATTAGTATTGGGGATTGACTAGTCTCATGCTTCATGGACTCCCCAGACTGTCTTCCACAGTGCTGCCAGAGAGAGCAAACACTCGCATGGAACCACGTTACCCCTCAGCCTACATTTCCTACCCCCCTCACCTCCAGTCCTTACCTTCCTCTGTCTGCACTGGTTTTCACACTTTCTCTCCCACCCCATGCTCCAACCATGCTCCACTATGTGCTCATCTTTAAACTTTCCTCCTTTTCTCATGCCATTCTATCTTTGAATTTATGGTTTCCTCAATTAATACTACCACTTCCCTTCTTTGCCTGGCTAACTACTGTGCATGTAAAACTTTGCTAAAACATTACTTCCTCCAGGAAGCCTGTCCTGCACATCACCACACCCCAGACAAGTAAAGTATCCTCTCCTTGCTACCTCTGTTTTTTATCATAACAGAGCTGTTGGCAAAGGGTGTGAACTCCCCAGACAGCATTAAATCTTCTCTTGCTGATGGTGCTCACAGAGCCTCAAAGACTGTATCTGGGTTGTAGATCTGATATGTCCTGTGGCCAACTAAGCCACAGGACTTCTAAGGTGCCTTTCGCCTTTCACCTCTGAGATTTCGTGAATTCCAAAGTTTACTCTCCCTTCTTCATAACCAAAACTCCTAATTTCCTCAGATTAATTTATCGCTGCTCATTGTTAGAAGGAGAATGTTAGCTTAGTGCCATTAAATGTGAAGCTGTGTAACTTAAGTGACTCTGATATAATCTCCAAGAATCCAACCAAGTAAATCAAAAAGGAGGTATGGAAAATATTTTCTCTCATCCTTGCCTTATAAACTCCCTAAGCTGTCACTGTTTTTCACATCTTTCCTCCTTCCTTCATTTCAAATTCCAAAGTCTCTAAAATTTTCCCTACTTTTATTACAGCATCTCCAACATTTTTTTAACTCTTGTTTTTATGTCTGTTTCTCTCCACTAGAATAAAAACATCGAGGATGGGTACCTTGTTTTCTCCATTTTGGGGGCGCTAGTACATGGTACCTCTTATGGAACTAAATAAAAAGTGTGTAGTAGCCCTGTGGTGAGGGGGAATAAAAGGAACTGAAATTTAATAAAGGGGTTATTTCAGTTTGGGATTGCCTGGAGTACAAATCCAAAATTACAATGAGCTTTCTATTTCTACATTAGGAGTAAACTGGCATGCTTCTGTGGGGTTAGATGGAATTTCTTTTTGCTACTTAATCTTCCTGCTTAATTCTTGCCACAACTTGTCTTTCAGTTTAATCAAAACCAGGATAATTCATTGTACTGCATTTGTAAATACAGTTCTGCAATTGTAGAAGTTCCAGGAAAATTACAGGCATGTGTCTTTATACCAGTCCCTACTGTCATCGGTAGATAGAAAGATCAAGAGAAATAAACCCTGAGAGCAAAAGTTCAGTGCCCCTTGATATACGCTGCCCATAGTTACTTTGGTTGCCATGACTTATGTTTCATAGAAGGAAATTACAGTTTATTTTTCTGACATTCAATCTAATCAATTTGTATTTTAATATTCTTATGTGTATATAATGGTTTGCAGATTTTATACCCTCTATTGGTTGTGATAAGTAAAATTTTCCTTGACTATAAAATGAGTTTTAATTTTCTCTTGAATATGCTAAACTTTGTTCTGAGTACATACAAAGCTTCAAATAATTTTTTACATTTTGATGTTGAATTTTACAGGTATATGATGATGGAAAATATGTGTATGTAGTGACAGAACTTATGAAAGGGGGTGAATTGCTGGATAAAATTCTTAGACAGAAATTTTTCTCTGAAAGAGAGGCCAGTGCTGTCCTGTTTACTATAACCAAAACTGTTGAATATCTTCATGCACAAGGGGTAAGTCTTTTTAACATTTTATATATACATACACATACACGCGCACACACATATGTATACATACACACACATACCTTTACCCTTTTTTTTTTTTACCTTTTTTCCCTTAATGTTTAAACTAAAATTACAAAGGTAGAAGTTACTTTATGCGTTAATGGAAAATAACTGTTACTACCTTATTCTGCTGTTCTTCCTCTATGTAAACTCCCACCGAGCTTGAAGTGATACTTTGAAATCCTAACTTGTTTATATTAAATACTTATGCTTCCCAAGAAAAAGTAAGTGAGGTCCTCTGACCTGGAAGACCTATCACCTTTTTTGCTAGGCCACTCTGTACTCTTGAGAACTGGGTCCATTGCAAGTTTAGAAGCAGAACCAGAGAGGGGTGCCTGGGTGGCTCAGTCGTTAAGCGTCTGTCTTCAGCTCAGGTCATGATCCCAGGGCCCTGGGAGGTCCTGGGATCAAGTCCCACATCGGGCTCCCTGCTCTGCGGGAAGCCTGCTTCTCCCTTTCCCATTTCCCCTGCTTGTGTTCCCTCTCTCTGTGTGTCTCTCTCTGTCAAATAAATAAATAAAATCTTTTTAAAAAAAATAAAATAAGGGGCGCCTGAGTGGCTCAGTCGTTAAGCGTCTGCCTTCGGCTCAGGTCATGTTCCCGGGGTCCTGGGATTGAGCCCTACATCAGGCTCCCTGCTCCGCGGGAAGCCTGCTTCTCCCTCTCCCACTCCCCCTGCTTGTGTTCCCTCTCTCTCTCAAATAAATAAATAAAATCTTTTTAAAAAAAATAAAAGGAAATTAAGAGCTTACTTCTTAAGGAGTTTATTTTCAATTCATTATTTTGTGTTTGCTCATAGAAGCTAACAAGTGCAATGTGTTAATTTCATCCTAGAGCTTCTTGACTTATAGCTGGTCAAGATTCGCCTGGTACACTAGCTCAAAATTAGTGGGACTCTGTAATCACTGAAGAATTGATGACTTTGCAGTCATCTGAGTCTTCTCTGTTCTTTTCCTATTGCCTCAGCAGTAATTAGTTATTCAGATGGTCTGGAGAAGTAATGTTCTCAATGTTAGGAACTAAAACTGAGATGATTGATTACACTCTAGATTCAGAATTTCACGGTAGAAGAAACATATAAGTCTAATAAGGAATGTCAGAAGGCTTATGTACGAGAACTATTCAAGTAGGTAACTAAAGGGGGAAAATAATACAAAACTCTAAAGGAAACGATATCTTTTTGTATGTGTGACATTGTCACTTAGATATCAAATAGGCAATACTTAAAGTCTGGATTTTTTTTTTCCTTTTTTACTCCTGAACCCCATGCCTATTCCATTGAGCCTGTGGGCATATGTTTATTGTATACATCCTTCATACATGCTGTTCCCTCTACTTAGAATGACCATCCCCCACTGTTCTGGCTTGTTCATTCTGTTCTTCGGGTCTTGGATCAGATGTTACCTCCTGTAGAGACCCATCTCTCACCTGTTTATTCTCTACCTCCCCCACTACTGTGTAAGCTCCTAGCATGGAAAGGCAAAGATCTTATGGATCTTGTTGAGCATAGTATCTAGAGCTCCTTATATAATACCCTGACACATGATAGGCATTCAGTAAATATTTGTTGAATGAATAAATAACCTAGAGACAGATATTATTGCTATTTGCATTTTACCTTAACCCACTTACTCAATTGGACAAAGAGGAGGGATGTACATACTATTTTTTTCTTCCTTCTCTCCTTGCCCCAGTTCTGTGTTAGAGAGTTATACTTACATTATCAGCATTTTAAAATGAGATAATTTAAAGATCAGCACTCATCGTCTTGTTAAGTACGTTGCTTGACAGTTTGTGAATAAAGAGTTTTCTGTAATTGAAATGTATTGTTAATGTACCTCTTCAATTTGTATTTCAATTAGGTGGTCCACAGAGACTTGAAACCTAGCAACATTCTTTATGTGGATGAATCTGGCAATCCAGAATCTATTCGAATTTGTGATTTTGGCTTTGCCAAACAGCTAAGAGCAGAAAACGGTCTTCTCATGACTCCTTGTTATACTGCAAATTTTGTTGCACCGGAGGTAATTGTGAAATTGTTTGCTTCCAGTATTTCAGTATATTTAAAAATTCATTTGCTGTGTTTAATATAGAATAGTTAATAGTTTTTCCATTGAAGACTTACTGAACAAATAATTAAAATAAAATGTCAGCCCTTTTTCTTCTGATGGTAATTCATCCTGTCCTCAGCCCCCTACTACTTAGTCCACTACAGTCCTTTTCTTGCTCTACCTTCTGTCTTTCTACATAATCACACATCTGTAGCAGTCCGCTATCACTGACACTTTTGTGCTGTGAGCACATGGAATTAAATGGAAACTAGTTTATTCTCATCCTTTCCTAATATCCTTCTAATTTCCTGATTTTGTCAACATCTTCCTGTATTTCTGAGGCTAAAGCATCATGGTGTCTTCTTGTCTTTAGCTACGTAACTAGGTACCATCTCTGTTATCCCCTAAAACCAGTCTGAGGTTCTTCTTTTCACAGAACTGCCATCCTAGCTGCTGCTTCCTTCACCACAGCCCAAATGACTGCCACAGCCTAGCTGCACCCTGCTCCCTCTCTGCTTCTGTGATCATTCCACAGAAGAGCTGTCGACTTACTAAAGTCTTCAAGCACTGCTGTGATCAAGTTGCTTCTTTTCCTAAGAAATTTTGGTTCCCCATTGTAGCAAATCTAAAGTCCACTGCTTTGCCTTCAAGATTTCTTGCCTTTTTATTATCACTGTGTTAAAAAAAATGTAACTGTGAACTATGTAATAAATAATAGTTAACCCTAATATCAAGCTTATGTGCCAGTCAAATGTATTAGCTGATTTCATCCTCACAAATAGAGTTTACATATAATAATTTTTTCTCTTATAACTATGTGAAGTGAGACCTTTTACTCTTTGAGTTTTACAGAAAACCAGGTGCATGGTGAGAGGTTATGTAATTTGAGGTCAGATTGAGATTTGAGCCCAGGTAATATGGCTGCAAAGTCTCTGCTTTTACCATTAGATATTTCACCAAAAAATGATAACAGTTGGTAATGCTAGGACAATTGGATTGTAGAGCTGGATTTTCCCCCTCTATTTTCCAAACTTTTTGTAATTTTGTTACTTTTGGGATATAAAATAATACTTTTAAAAAGACTACTTGAACCTGTTCTCCTGGTGGGACTAGAACTAATGAGGGACAGACTTTTTGCTTGTTTGTCCATATAGCCACAGCTTCTGATACATATTGGTGTCCAAGCATGGTCACTTCATCTAGCCATCTCATTTTTCCTCATGAGTGTTTCCTGCTTCAGACAAGCAATCTGCTTCTGGAAATCGCCATGTAGCTGTTTTGCCTTGGCATGTTGGAATGTTTTTTGCTTCAAAACCTAATGTTTTTTGTTCAAATGTTTTTTGCTTCAAAACCTTTTTTGCTTCAAAGCCTCTAAATTCATATTCTTCAGGAAATCTCCCATGATTAAAATCTCCTTAGACTTGACCTTTTAACTCTTTGTCTCAGATTCACCACTTAGTTGTTCAAGTTAAAACTTGGAAGTCCTCCTGAAATCCTCCTTCTCCATCATTTATCTACATCCGGTCAGTCACCAAACCCTTTCCATTCTGATTCCTGAATATTTTAGACCCCTTTTCCCTTATCCTATACATCCCAGCTCTACTAAGTCCTTCCTATTTTATCATTACATCTTTTTCTCTCCATGTCCTGCCTTAGTGTGGTTCCTCATAGCCTTTCACTTAGTTTGCTACAAATTGCCTCCTATCGGATGGCCTTGTTTCCAGTCTGTCTTCTTGCCAGCATTTCCTCTATACCTTGAGTTATCCTTTTGGTATACCCATCTACTTATTTTATTTCCCTGTTTAATGCTTCAATGACCACAGATTGCCTACAGGAAAAATCCTTAACAAGATATTTATAAAAGCCCTTCTTTGTTCTCTCTGGTATCCCTTACCTGGACATCTGGCCACACTGAATCCTTGCCTGTCCTTAACCATGCTCTGCTCTCTTGCCTCTGCTCTTGGAGTGTCCTCTACTCTCTTCCACCTCTTCCCTTTGCCTCCTGAATTCTTAGTTACAGGCCCAGTACAAGCAGGCTGCCCCGTAGCCTTCCTTCTCTCTCCATATCAAGAATGAATTGTTTTGAGGCACCTGGGTCGCTCAGTCGGTTAAGCGTCCAACTGTTGGGCGCCTGGGTGGCTCAGTCGTTGGGCGTCTGCCTTCGGCTCAGGTCATGATCCCGGGGTCCTGGGATCGAGTCCTGCATCGGGCTCCCTGCTCGGCGGGAAGTCTGCTTCTCCCTCTCCCACTGCCCCTGCTTGTGTTCCCTCTCTCGCTGGTCTCTCTCTGTCAAATAAATAAAATCTTTAAAAAAAAAAAAAAAGCGTCCAACTGTTGACTTCAGCTCAGGACATTATCTCAGGGTCATAGGATCGAGTCCCATGTCAGGCTCCATGCTCAGCAGGGAGTCTTCTCGAGATTCTCTCTCCCTCTCCCCCGCCTCCCCACTCACTCTTGCTCTCGCTCTCTCTAAAATAAATAAATCTTTAAAAACAAAAATGAATAGTTTCCTCATCTTTATACCTATAGCACTTTAGGCATAATTTTGTTATAATATGTTGCTTTATTAACTATATGTTTATTTCCCCTGCCATAGTCTAATTTTCTTAAGGAAACAAGAGCGTTTTGTATTTATCACTGTTCATGCTCGATAGTAGTTGGTGATTACTAAATGCTCAAGTGAATCATACTTTATATATGTAAAAGTGTAATTTTGCATTATATTGTTTGTACTTTTATGTGTTCCTAAAAGTACTGTTTTATGTAACCACCTCTGTAGTCTCATAGAAAATGAATATAAATTCATTTAAATAAGAAACTTAGAGGGAAGCAGTGGGGGAGAAAAAGAAACTTACTTCATTTTATTTTATAGTCCTCTATCTGCCATGGCATTACTCGATAAATGCTAATTCAAATACGAAAATCAAATTTATATATATATACATATATATATGAATTATGAGTTGTAGAATGTTATAGAATAGGATTAATATATTGCCTTGTTAACCATGTTCTGTTGAGTTTTTCTTAAATATATTAATTTAGAAGATAGTGCAGTTCACAGCCTATTCAAATCTCTAAACAGTAGTGTGTTAATACTAATTTTTACTTTTTCTAGGTTTTAAAACGACAAGGCTATGATGCTGCTTGTGATATATGGAGTCTTGGTGTCCTCCTCTATACAATGCTTACTGGGTGAGTGGACCATATGTTGTAAGCATTTATTCATCAATATTTTTTTTAATCTCTGTGTTGTAATATCTTTCTTTTCATGTTTTCCCATGTTATCTGATAATGTAGTCCTGTGTGTGTATCTCTCTGTCTCATATATATATGTATATGTATATATATATATACCACATTTATAACTGTATCATTACTGATTTTCTTTAATGTACCATTTGTTAATGTCTTAAGGTCTTAACTTGATTTTTTCCATATCTCTTTTGTACTCTTTATGTTGTAAACATACACTGTTTTTAAATATTCTATTCTTATGTGTCATATCTTAAAATATTTATAGTATATACTAAATCTAATTATTTCACAGCTTGTACCTTGACCTGGTGCTTAATGGAGCTTCATGATGTTGATATTTTTCACTTTAGGAGATTTCAGTAAAGTATTACATTAATTTAATTACCCAGAGTACTCTTGAACACTGTAAATAAATGTGAAGATGACCAACCAAAAAAGAAATTTTATTCATTAACATTTTAATTTCATTATAAATTAGTTACACTCCATTTGCAAATGGCCCTGATGATACACCAGAGGAAATATTGGCACGGATAGGCAGCGGAAAATTCTCACTCAGTGGTGGTTACTGGAATTCTGTTTCGGACACAGCAAAGGTAAGTATGGCTTCTATTATAAGCTTTTGAGAAAATAATTTTTCATAATCCCTGGTGAGAAAAAAAAATAGTTACAAACTTTTGTTTATAAAGTATTACTTTGAAGTGATGTTACCAAATAACTTGAACTCAAAAATGGACCAATTATTTTGTTTCCCAGAAGGTATTGGTTTGGCTTTATTACCTATACATCTAAAACTACTTACTCACAAACATGATGAATAATAATGGTGGTATAAGAGACTTTTAACGAGGGCGCCTGGGTGGCTCAGTTGGTTAAGCGACTGCCTTCGGCTCAGGTCGTGATCCTGGAGTCCCGGGATCGAGTCCCGCATCGGGCTCCCTGCTCAGCAGGGAGTCTGCTTCTCCCTCTGACCCTCTTCCCTCTCGTGCTCTCTATCTCTCATTCTCTCTCTCTCAAATAAATAAATAAAATCTTTAAAAAAAAAGAGAGACTCTTAACGAGAGAGAACAAACTCAGGGTTGATGGACGGATGGGTGGGGGATGGGCTAGATGGGTGATGGGTGTTAAGGATGGCATTTGTTGTGATGAGCACTGGATGTTCTATGTAAGTGATGAATCACTAAATTCTCCTGAAACCAATATTACACTATATGTTAACTAGAATTTAAATAAAAATTTGGAAGAAAAAATATATAAATCTGTTAACAATAACAATAATAATAATAATAATGGTGGTAATCTTCCTGATTTGTGTGTTCTGTGCCTCACACTGCACCTCACCTAAATCATCCCATTTAATCCTCTTCCAGGGGCGCCTGGGTGGCTCAGTTGTTAAGCATCTGCCTTCGGCTTGGGTCATGATCCCGCGGTCCTGGGATCGAGCCCCGCATCGGGCTCCCTGCTCAGCGGGAAGCCTGGTTCTTCCTCTCCCACTCCCCCTGCTTGTGTTCCCTCTCTTGCTGTCTCTCTCTCTCTGTCAAATAAATAATAAATTTTAAAAATTTTTTAAAAAATATTTAATCCTCTTCCAAACCCTGTAAAATAGGTGGTAGTATCCCCATTTCACAGAAGGAAACCAAGGCCAGAATTTTTGTGTGAATTTGTCCATGGTTACATACAGGGAGCATGTGGGTGCTTCAAACTAAGCAGTTGGTTCCAAAGCCCTTATTCCCTAGAATAACTGCACCATGTTCTATTTTTGGTCCGTATTATGTAGAAAAGGGTCTTATCTTTTTCACAGTAAATGGTAGTATCGTTTTATAGTGTCTGCTTGAAATCCATTTGAAAAGCCTTTCTCACTGGAAGATCTGCCATCCTCTGGCAGACTTGCTTTCCAACTCTGCTCTAGTTTTACTTTATTCGTAGAAGATGCTCTTGTAAAAACAAGAGTGAAAATTTTAAAAATTAGAAAAAGAAGAGCAAAGTTTTTCACTTCTGAATAAGGAAAAACGTAGAGGAGATAGAGAAGATACATACTGGTAAAAGTGTTTGCTGATTTCTCTTAGAGATGGAAGCCCAAGTTGAGATGATTGCATAAGTAAACAGGGTATGTCAAAAATGTAGGTTGATACTTTTGGCATAGACATGAAGCCTCTGTTAACTAATTTAATGTCTGCATAGATGATATTTGGCTTTGTAACTGATTTAAAATGAAATGTTAGCCTTTCCCCTTTTTTTAACAATATTTCTTAAACCAGATGATCGATTTTTTTCTGGGATTTCTTTTTAATCCATGTATTAAGCACTTACAACATGCTTAATATGTGAAGGTCCAGGGATCAAAGATGTGACTGAGATAGAATTCCTGATCTCAGGAAGCTCATAGTCTAGTTGGGAGATGGCCAGAAGTATACAGTACAGTGTCACGTGTGCTGTTACAGTGGTACATTTTCTGTGTTAAGTTCACAGATGGTGCTCGGTCAGAAAGATTTCCAGGAAAGCTTTCCAGAAGCAGTGAAGGGATTTTCCTGGCAGGTTTAGGGAGCAGAAGGATGTATTCCATCCCAGGCTGAGGGAGCAGTACATGCTCTTTGTGGTCAGGACAGCCTGAAAATGGCAGAATGCCTCCAGGTTGCTGCGCACAGTTTGTTGTGACTAATACAGGGTACACATGAGAAGGTAGCTGATGAACCCAAATTATAAAAGGCTTTGTAGATTATTCTCAGGATTTCAGGTTTATTCTAGGTATTGGAGAACTGTTGAAAAATATTAAGCATTATAGTGATCAGATTTTCCTTTTTCAAGTTTGTTCTGTAGAGCAGTAATTCTTATCTCTGGAGTCTGCTAGAAATTGTCATGATCATTTGTGAGACATATTAAGTAATGTCACCATGTAAAGTATCGGAGCTTACCCATTGCCTCCTTTTTAAATAAATTATAGAAATAACCTTAACTTGCTTTAATTTTGATAATTTGATTCTCATTGACTTGCATTCCAGTATGCTTTTTTGAATGAAAGAGAAAGACAGGTGAGGATGAGATGAAAATAGAGTACAAAAAAATTGGATCTAACTCACAGCCTTTCTTATAAATATCACATTATTACTGATAACTTTTGCTAATTTGTCGAGTTAAGACTTGAGATTACAAGCATTATATGGTACAGTGAATACCCACAAAATTGGGAGGGAGGGTTCTGTCAGTCTGATGTGTTGCCTCAAGAGCAAGTGGCACATGTGAATGTCATCAGTCATATGGGCCATATGTGTCATATGTGGCTTTGAGAAGAACAGTACCATCACTATAATTCACTGGGCACTTATGTGCCAAGGACTGTGCTAACACTTATATCTATATTATTTCATTCAGTCCTCACTGACCTAATATTAAGGGTAGTTTTACTTGTAAGGTTTTACAATATTTCAGGTCACAAATGATGAAGACCTAAACTAGAGCAGTTGTAGCAGGATTTGAGGCAGATGAAAGAGAAATTTAGGGGGCAAAATAGACTCAGTGGTTAAATGGACATAAGAAGCAAAGGAGGGGCACCTGAGTGGCATAGTTTGTTAAGTGCCCAACTCTTGGTTTCGGCTCAGGTCATGATCTCAGGGCCCACATTGGGCTCCGTGCTGAGCACGGAGTCTGCTTGAGATTCTCTCTCTCTCTCTCTCTCTCTGTCTCTCTCTCAGAATAAATCTTTAAAGAAAAAAGAAGCAAGGGAGAAGCAGATAGTAAGCATGTAGTCCACATTTCCACCTCAGGCAAATGAGTCGGTAGTGGTGTCCTTCACCAAGATGTGGAATACAAAAGAAGTGGTTTTGAGAGGAGTGATGATTACAGATTTGGACATGAAGAATTTGAAATGCAACTGTGATATATAATTAAGAGATGTATGTCCATTAGGCAACTGGCTATATGGATGCAGATCTTAGGAGAGAAGTCTCGGGTGGACAGTGGAGTTAGGAGTTGTCATCATCTGTAGTAGCTAAAGCCATGAGCACGAATGAGCTTATCTGAGCAGAGTGATGAGACCTATGGAAGGAATAGCGTTTTGTTATGCCCCTGGGCAGTTTTGCAACCTTTTATATACTTGAAGCACATCTTCCCACTTTAAGAATTTGGAAGGGGAGTTCCTGATTGTTTCACTTTTTATTTCTAATTCTGTTCCGTAGCTTGTTCCTGTTCTTAGCTGTTAATGATAACTAAAAATAAGAAACTGTAAATAATAGCAGAGAAATACTTGGAATAACATCTCCTCAATTCCCAGTACCAGTCAGCGACCAGGTTCTGTTGGTTCTTTCTCTTAAGTACCTCAATACCATCCATATTTCTCCATCTCTTATACAGCCCTGAAGCCATCATCTCTCGCCAGTCTTAAATTGGAGTCTTCAGGCTTGCACCCTCCGATCCATTTTCCTCCACACTTAGTGAGCGTAAGCTCTCTAAAGTACAAACCTGACTGTATCACTCCTTTGCTTTGAATAATTTCTTACCTGCAGACAAAGTCCAGATTTGCTAATGTAGCTTACCAGGGCCTTCATGGTCTGGTCCCTTCTCGCCTTTCTCACTTATCTGCTGCCATGTTCTACTTGGCATTTTTTGTTACAGCCTCACTGCACTCCTCTTAGTTCCTTAGTTATGGCATGTTCTCGTCCCTGAAGGCTTTCCTCTAAACACACTCTGCTCTATCTCCCTGAATTGCTCTGTTTCCTCCTCCCCTTCTCTAATCCATCTACTGCTCATCCTTCAGATCTAACATTCCTCTAAAGAAGTCACTTCTAAGCCACCCCATCCTGTTCAGGTCACTGTCTCTTTGTGTTCCTCTAGCTATACCTCTTTATTCATCCCATCAAAGAACTTACTGTTTGCTTTGTAATTGATTCTTTGTTTCTCCCTCACTGGGCTGAAAGCTTCATGAGGTCAGAGTTCATTTCTATCTTGTTCACTGCTAAATACCCAATGCCTAGCAGAATACCTGGCCTTTAATAGATACTCAATAGCTATATTTTGAATGAAAAATTAAACAAGTGGTAGGTGGCTTTTATAAGTCACAGCTGTTGTTATTTTAGAGAGTATAAAACTATCTAGCAATTATATGGATCTATATTCCATGCATAGGAAAGCATTTGGTTAGATAGAAAGCACTTTTTTGGAAGAATGGGATTCTGGGAGTTCTTCATGTTCTTTTTGCTTCTCTGTATTTCTGATTTTTTTTTTAAATAATGCCTGTGCAATGCCCATGAAGTGGAAAAAATAAAAATCTGGGGCGCCTGGCTGGCTCAGTCTGTGGAGCATGTGACTCTTGACCTTGAGGTTGTGAGTTCAAGCCCCACGTTGGGCATGGAGCCTACTTTAAAAAAAAAAAAAAAGAACTCTGATCTTTTGGAGGGGGCATTTGGAGCTCTCCAATTAAATTCCTATTATTGGACAGTTATGTTCTGCTTTCCATTATTACCAGCAGCACAAAAAATTATTTAGAAATAAACCTACAAAAGTGTAGAAAAATCAGAATATCTCAGTGAAAAAAGAGCCAAAGTACTTAAAGATACATAAATGTGGTAAATTTACTCTTTGTAATGCACCTAAATTACTGTTACTCAGGGAGGCAAAAACAAAGACTTAGGTTTTTGCCTTTTTTTTTTCCCCGCAAAGAAATTGCCATGTTGGGGGCACCGAGGTGGCTCAGTCAGTTAAGCATCCAACTCTTCATTTCACCTCAGGTCATGATCTCAGAGTCGTGGGATTGAGCCCCATGTCAGGGAGTATACTTGAGATTCTCTCCCCACCCCCCCACTGCCTCTCCCCCTACTCATGCTCACTTGCAGTTTTTTCTGTCTCTGTCTCTCTCACTCTCTCTAAAATAAATCTTTAAAAAAAGAAAAATTGTCATGTTGACCAAATTGCTTTGAACCTCAAAGTTTGGTACTAGGAAAAAATAGTGTCATAAAAGCTAAGGAAGAATGCTGACCAGTATCAAGTGCTATAGAAAAACAAACAGAAGTTTAAGCTTGTTTTATTATTATTCTTCTTCCCTTTACAGGACCTGGTGTCAAAGATGCTTCATGTGGATCCTCATCAGAGACTGACTGCTGCCCTTGTGCTCAGACATCCTTGGATCGTCCACTGGGACCAACTGCCACAATACCAACTAAACAGACAGGACGCACCCCATCTAGTCAAGGTGAGCTGCCCCTTTCAGGCACTGTTTTCTGCATGCCCTCCAGAACACTGTGAGCCTCCCTCTCCATGCCCGCAGCACCTTTTTCCCTTTCGCTCAGCCAGCATCCATTTCCTCAAGTGACAGTCTCTTACAATGAGCAGTTTAGAAAAGAAAAAGTCAAAGCACGCCAAAATATAATAAAACTAGTTTAAGAATGACTTCTGAATTTATCAATCACGTAGGCTTATGGATTTCCTAACTTTTGTTTATACTTTGCTTTCTTACGCAAAACCCAGAGCAAACTCTTTGAGGTTGTCAGCAGTGGCAAAACACGTTCCAAAAGAGCATGCTTTGCTGCGTCACGTGTTAAAGCACTGCAAAGAAACAAAAAGTTGAATAGTCCTGAGTAAAGTGAGGACTGCTTGTTATAAGCCCATCACTGTCCTTTCTCATCCACAAGTTCAGCCTCCCACGTTTGCCTCTCTAATTTTAGTTAAATCAGAGGGTTTGACCAGTATGGTTATTTTCATTATAAGCCCAGTTAAATGTATATGCATTTACATATGAAGAAATTATCTAGGGGGGAAAAAGTTTTCATTTCATATTCTGTGTCTTTGGGACTAGCCATCGTCATTTGTGTTGTGACCTCTCTTTCCTGTTTTCAGGGTGCTATGGCAGCTACATATTCTGCTTTAAACCGTAATCAGTCGCCAGTTTTGGAACCAGTAGGCCGCTCTACTCTTGCTCAGCGGAGAGGTATTAAAAAAATCACCTCCACAGCCCTGTGAAGTGACCTCAGTGAGCTATTTGGTACCATGGTGTAAGCTGATAGCACAAGTTCTGGCGACAGGTAGCACATATCTGAGAGACACCTGCAAGCACACACTGTCCCAGCTGGTACCCATAATGCTGCTGCTCCTGCTGCTGCTCCTGCTTCCATCTCTTCTCGCTTTAAATGATTGTTAGCAAGTTAGATTTTCCTGGAGCTTCGGGTGAAATGAAAATGGAAACATGATGAAGACATATTCACTGAATCAACAAGAATAATGAACATATGAATACCACCTAAAAATACACTGAATAAAGTACTCTACACCATATAGCATTATTTTTATAGGAAATATTTCATGTCCCTGAAATATTCTTTGTTAGTTATAGGGATGGACAGTTTATGTTAAGCACTTAGCTTAAACAATCCGTTTCTATTAGCACTGTATCCCTTGTGCCATCCAACATTTTGTATGTTTTTGTAAACAGTTCATACACAGTACATTTCTGTACTGCTTTCTTTAATGTATACATGCTTTGTTTAACTTGGAATCTATTATTATTAATCAATTGACTATTAAATCGGGTTAAATAGTTCACCTGGATTAACAGTATTGTTGGACAGCCCTAAAAATGGCCAGATTGTGGAACAGCTGTTGAATGTAATACTTCCAAAATGTATATATCTTTCCCCATGTCTGTTTCACTGGTTCGTTCATTTGTTTGTTTCTTAAAGTCAGGTGCTTTGTCAGACTAACTTAGAGAGCTGTTATGGTAGAGAAAGTTATCACGTGTGTGTGGCATGACATCAAGAGTACACCTATGAAGTTAGTCCATATACGTTGCAACTCTTTAGGGTTCTTTTTTCCTTAATTAAGGAAGTAGTTCTTGCACTTTTGATCTTGAATAGTATCCATACTTAGTATTTGGCATATAATTTGGGATTTTTCCAATATACATCAAAGGCCTTTAAGAGTTATGGTGAAGATATTAGCGAAGGAAAATTTAACAACAGGTCATTCAAGTCCCATTAGATCTTTCATGTTTAAATAGATCAAATTGCAGAATTTAGCGTATGAATAACAGGATACCTGTTCTTGTATACCTGCAAGAAAAGTATGCTTTTTTGGAAAAAAGGTAAATCATAATGAGTTCTATCCCATTACAATGCTCTATATTAAACACTAATTTGAATGTAATAAAGGCCACCAGCCTCACTATGAAATTGGATTTAAACTTTCTTATTTGAGGGAATAAAACATTCTTGATCAAACAGTATCTGTTCTCACCTGAAATCATAGCTCAAGTAGCCTAAGTGAATGTTCACCATTGAGTGTTTTCTGAATTCCTTCTGATGATTTATAGCCATATAACGCTTCCTTTAACTTCAGAAATGATCAGCTTTCATAGTGGTGGTCACTGGGTCTGCTTAGATTACAGTATTCATTACCTACATCTGATTTGGGTAGTTTCCACAATTCTCTTTGATTAAAGAAACTTTTGTATCCATTATTACCTGTATTTTAGTCGAGCTACCTAGTATACATCAATATGTAATATGAAAAACATGAACAAGGAAAAAGCAATTTAACTTAACCTCATCAACAATGTGCCCAACAGATCTCTTAGCCATGTACTGAGCCATTTACATCAGAAGTCTCTTTACCTGCCCGAAGCTTTAAATCTTTCTTTGAGAGTACAAAGCCAAGAAAGCGTGCTTTAGTTAAATGTCTTAGAAGCCACTGTTATTCCTTAATTTCTCCTCTATGCAACTAAAGAGAAAAGGAAAATCTATAACATTCATTTTGCTTAAGTGACACAAAATTATTATTGCATAGAAATCAAATGTAAGTTCATCTTCTAAATAAAATGTATAGGAAGAAGGATGCAGAAGATCTGGATGGAGAAAGTTTTATTAAAATTCTTGAGTATATGAATGCTAACTATCAAAAACTGCTTCCCATTGCCTATAAAGAAAATATTTTTTCTTTCTCTCTCTCCTCTATTCAGTGTTTCAAACCATGACCATCCCAAATTCTTGTCACTTTTAAAATGTTAATGTAACTCTGGGCAAAAAAAAAAAGACATTTTCAAATTTTGGACGCTGATGCTTAGGTGTTTTGTCCATCAGAGTCTTAGAACCAGAAGTAAATGTGTAAATCCTATAAATTATCTATATAATTTATTATCTAAATAACTTATCTAATTTAGATAATAAATTATCTAAATAACTCATATTGCATGTAAAGTACCTAAGACCCAAAGCAAAGACTAGAATCCTTAACTTCCCATTCAGTTTTTTTCCCTCATAACACCATGCTGCCTTCCCTTCATATTAATACCCAGCCAGGAGCAGAGTTGTTCAAAAAAAAAAATACATATTTCTTAGGATAATACTCTACTGGTAGATGAATGGCAAGTTTATTGCTTTCAAAGATACTGCCTTCTTTGCCTACTCCAGCTGCCAATTTTATTGGATAAAAGCAAGTCGTATGTTCACAAAACTGAAGGCTTTTGCCTAAAATGCAGTTCGTGAGCTTAATTTATTTCATCTGTGGTCCTGGTGTTCCTATTGCCTTTGACTTATGGCAGACAAACTTGGCCAACAATTGTGTAATGCTTGCCCTGGGTTTACCTTTCCATTAATTACTGAGTCCAGCTCCACCGGGCCCTTCACCATTTAGTTCCCCTAGTTACCAGGGCTTCTCCCAGAAGGTTTTAGTTCAGTCCTAAAGATTATTTCAATGTGAAAGAAGGAACTAAACCATCAGGCCACTTTTACAAACCTCCTCTTAGCCTATAATCCAAAATAATATCTAGAATGGTAGATTGCATTTAACTTTTCCAAGCACATGCTGAAAAATACGGATTACACTACCACGTGTTTTGTATCTTCCCTTTCAAGTGATGATGTTAAGGTAAGTTTTTGTCCTTTTAATTTTTTATGTAAGTCATTTCAGATCCTAATTTATAGAGATGTCTTTTTTTCTAAGTACAGTAGACCTTTAACAGATTTAATACAGATTCATTTATTCACAAGCAACCCCAAAAATGCAAAAATGTAATGATTTTCACAAGGCACAGAATCAAGATGCTGCAAGGCTAATGTGTGGGGAAAAGTCACTTAGTGAGTGTCTGGAGGGGGTGTGGTGTGTATGCAGTAGAGATTCACATTTCACATGTGGTAGGCTGCAAAGTATGGGTTTGGATCAACCATTTCCCACCTAATTTTAAGAAGTGGCTGATTTTGGGGCCAGGGGCATTATGAGAGGTGGGGCTGGCCTGTTTGCTGTGCCCTGCACCCTCAGCCCAGCAAAGATTTGAAGGGGGAGAGGGGTGCAAAGGCTTCATGAGTAAGCAGAATGGATTGGGTTGGAAAGGAACTGGGGTAGGTCCAGCCTGGGATGAGAGCAGAGAAACATTTAAGATTTGGGATCCTTGATACGGATGTACTTAATCACCATGGAAGTCAGCAATACATATCTCAACACGGCTTTGATATTCTCTACTTCCTGGCTTTTATAAATGACAGAAAATTTTTCAGCTTGCTTTACCATATTTTATAGAGAAAATTCTCATGGTGGTATCAAGCATTTATGAGATTTGTGAAGGCATTAGGACAGGTATCTCAGGAATGTAAAGAGTTAGAAAAGGTCTGTTTTCTGTGTTTAAGAAATACGGTGGGTTCCATGGTTGACCCTTGGTGCTTAAACCAAGAGGTTCCGATCTAGTCCTAGAGTTCTGTCCCTCTGAAAGGTCCAGCTCCATGTGACTCACACTAGATGTATACATTGAGTTTTATTTAATTCACAGATAAGTTGGCTTAACTCAGTATTTATATTTCAGTGAAAATAGTCCTCTTTTCACCTCCAGATTGCTTACATTTTGCTGGTTTCCCCAAGTGACCATTGGTGGAGACCAATTAATGAAGGAATGAAATTTGCTTTCTTGGGACTGTGGTATTCTGCAGAGCTACGCTTAACCACTTTTTCTAGTGAAGAATCTACAGAATGATAATACCTAAATATGGATGGCCAAGAAGAATCTGTATCTACAGTGTGCTTTATGTACTTCTGACACTGCTGTATTTTGTGTGGTCAAGTGACTTGTAACTGGTTCCATTGTGACTGAGTGTGCTCAAAGAATTCTAGTAAATTAAGTCGACTTAATTTTCTTAAGCCTTGTATTACTATCAGTCTCACATTTACCACTTTGATTCTAGTCTTTTAACTGTTCATAACAGGGCATACCAAGGGTTGGGATGAGAGTCTACTTCCTACCTCTTACGGCACTTTCCTCATTATTTTGCCATATAACCTTGAAGTGCATGATAAGCTGTTTAAATGTCCATGACTTCTCCCAGAGCAACTAGCAAAGTATATGACATTGAATAGAGATTAGTGGAAAGGAAAATTTAGAGACTAGGTTCAGAGATGCAAACCTCAAAAAAACCTCTTTCAGAGCACATACCATTTGAGTACAATATGTGTAAACGTATGTGAGAGGAGAGTCTCTAAGTAGATTAGTTCAATATCTAATTAAAGAGAAAATCTTTACTCCTAGTATTACTATAGTACTGAATGAACTGTATACTGAGTTTTTCAAACAAGTGTGTAAAGTAGAACTTTTAAATTCAAAGCGAGGGCATAAGGATAAAGGTTTTGGTTTGTGTTTCTCTAAGTGTAGTTTATCATCTAAAGCTTTTTTTTTAATTGCCATGCCTTAGCATCCTTAATAATTATGGGTGATGAGTTTTTAATTCTTAAAATTGTGTACATGTATTAGGTTTATCTTAACTCTTACCCTAAGCAAAAGGGAAGGTATACACCTAAGGGATGTAATTATTTTGCATTTTTGGCCTTGGGTGGGAATGGGGTGGGCAACTACTTAAACAGTTTTTAAAAAAGAAAAAAAATCACAAATATTTTTCTACTATTATACATGATCTTACTTTATACTAGTTTCTCTCTAGTAAGGCATGCCAGAAGCCCAAGGTACCATATCATGAGTTCCTATGTATTGTACCTTTTATTGGTGGTTAAATTGCATCAGATGCTTGGCACTGCTGCCATAATTATGAAATGCTTGTAAAGGATTAATTATCACTGAATACTTTAAATTGTTTTACTTAAGAGTTTAATCTGGGAAGTTTTCAAATCATACTATTAATGTGTAATCTAAGCTCTTTCAGATGTATCCATGAATAATCCTGGAACAATATTGCTTGTATTCCTGTCACAGAACAGGTTTTGTAATCTTTAAAAGAAATGAAAATTTATATAATAAAGTTTCAAATAAATGCATGCATGTCATTTATCAGGTTATTTCAATTATATGATAATCCTTCATAATGTCCAATTCTATCCAAATTATAAATTTATCAAACTGGATTGATAGAACTTAAAACGGGAACATCTCTGAGTTAATAAGAAGTGCAAGATAATTTTTGTATGCAAAGTCTTGGTTAGCCCAAAGAGTGTCACATCAGACTCACATGAGTCATAGATCTTTTTTTTTTTTTAAAGATTTTATTTATTTATTTGACACACAGAGAGAGCGAGAGAGAGAGGGAGAGAGCACAAGCAGGGGGAGCGGCAGGCAGAGGGAGAAGCAGGTTTCCTGCATGAGCAGGGAGCCCGATGTTGGGGCTTGATCCCAGGACCCTGGGATCATGACCTGAGCTGAAGGCAGCGGTTTAACCAACTGAGCCACCCAAGCGCCCCACATGAGTCATAGATCTTAACCCAATACCAAATGTGGTTAATGATTCAAAGGATACAGAGTGATCACCAGGCATAGGTGAAATAATCTTTTCTTGGAGACATCCAAAATTATCAGACTTAGCTCCAAAATACCCTTGCTCTTCCTCATTATGGTACATTTTGGACTCAGAATTAAAGGACAGGTTTCCTTCCGAGCAATGTGGAGACATTGCTTAAACAAAGGGAGTCATTTGGTTCTGCAACATCCCTTTTTTATACCTCATTAATTACACAAATGATGAATCTGCATTCTCCAGCCAACCATGCTTCATCAATCCATAAATTCCATGTTTTACAATAAGCCATCTCTATAGACAAAATGTATCTTGCTAAAAGCATTTTAGAGATAAGGACTTTTTGTTTTCTTTCTGCTAGTCAGTAAATATCATTGCCACATTTAAGGAAATTTGATTGAGGTCATTGATTCCTGGTAGAGAGGGAATGGGTTATAGGCCTACAGTTAGCCCTTTTCTTCCCCGTTGACATTTTGAGTTTTACATTATGATGGTGTATTTATTCGTCTCAGGCTGCCATAACAAAATACCACAGACTGGGTGGCTTCAACAACAGAAATTTATCTTCTCAGAGTTCTGGAGTCTGGAAGTCAAGATCAAGGTGCTAGCAGGGTTAGGTTCTTCTGAGGCCTCTCTCCTTGGCTTGCAGATGGCCACCCTCTTGCTGCCTCTTCATGTGGTCATTCCACCCCTGCTGTCTCTTCCTCCTACAGAGATACCAGTCATATTGCAT